ACATCTTCAACAAGAGCCCCAAAAGTTACTTTTCTGTGTCCCTATGATGGCTAGAAGGAAATGTTTTCCTTGGGATGAGCAAGTATAGGCTTTTAAAAATTATTTTGAAAATAATTTTATTGTATTTGTTAGAAATAGTTCATGTTAACTATCAAAAATTTCAACTAATAATGACAAATACAATGAAAAAATTTTAAAATAGCTTATACCAAGCACCCCTTACCCATAAATACAGAAGGAGGGAGGAAGGAGATTGCACTAGATGTACTTTTTTGAAACAAAACTATTATAATTTAATTGAGTTTAAATTAAAGTGAAGTGAAACTGTGGGACTTGCTAAATTTTTGTAATTGCTTCCTCCAAAGAGTAGAAATTAGTTATGAAAAATGTATTATGAAATGCAATAAGGGTCTGGAGTCATTGTGGTAGGGTTGTTTTTTTTTTTTTTTTTTTCTGTTTTTGGATGGTTCTAAACTTTGTACCCAGCATTTGTTTTAAGCAGATTTGGTAAGGCAAGCAGACACATAAATGAATGTCATGAAGGAAGTTTTTATTCACAGATTCCTAAAAACTGGAGGCACAGCACATCACCTAGGCCCATGTGGGAGTGGACAAGTAGCAGAAGAAGGGGGAGGGGAAGCATGTCCCCAAGCTATTACTGGGTTTTCATGGGAAGAGTTGGGCTGGGGAGGTAGGTATCCTGAGTAAGTTTAGGATTGGATAATTTGAATAATTTTGGCAGACTCTGGATTAGAGAGGAGGGATCTAGTTGTGAGACACCTGGGCCTAGAGTGATTTAGGACAGGGATATTCGCTTGGTGTGTGAGAGATGGTTGGGGGTGTAGGTTCTAGCTCAATTGGTTTGCATGTCAAAGATGGCACTTGAAGGAGAGCTGCTTCCTATCTCCAGGAACTAGCTAGCCTTAGGAGAGACAGTGTCTTTAGGATTAAGGCCCCAAATGCCAAAGTAGCAGGAATACTGACATTCAGAACATTTTCTCACTGCAATGGCACCTACTGACTTCCAGCAGGAAAAGATGAGAAAGGCAGCCTTTCTTCTCACTTCCATACTTCCCCCTGCCTTCCTACCTCCACCTATACAAATGCTGAATTCTTTGTACAGCATCAAGGTTATGACATTTCTATTCCATCCTGCCACCATGGTTTTCAGTAGATTAGAACTCCTGCTCACCTCTAGTCCCTTTACCATAGCTCACCACTCCCAAGTTTATTATCTTAATTTATACCTTGTTTAGCTGGATTTCATTATCCAATAGTTCTCTTAGGAGGGAGCAGAGGTTCTAAGTTCCTTGAGTTCAACTTGTTTAAAAATGTCCTATTCTTGAAGACCACCTTACATGGTTATGTAATTCTTAGATAACTCTTTCCCTTGGAACTCAGAACATGTTGATCCAACTGTATTCCCTGTTGGTTGCCTGTATCCCTTAGCCCCCACCTCCCCCTGTAGGTATCTTACTTGTTCTGTGAGGGTAGCTGGAGAAGTACTTCTTTATATATATCTCTTTTTAAAAAAAAAAAAAAAAGCATAATATACTCAGCCAACCTATAAGTTCAAAACTCTCCTCAACTGAGGACAAAGTTTCTCCTATTATGTCTTTGAATGGATTCTTTGTTCCATTGTTTGGTTAACTTTGGTTTTCTTTTGGTGGTGCTGGGGTTTGAACTCAGGGTTTCACATTTGCTAGGAGGGCACTCTACCACTTTAGCCACTCCACCAGTCCCACTTCTTTCCTTCTTTACATTCTTTGTGATCATTAAACTTCTCCTACCCTCTTTACTATTTCAATTTGGATCTATATATGTTATATTCCTTCATTTTTTAATATACTTACTAGTTCCAAATTTTCCAATGTCTTGGTTCATTCAGTTATTTTGGTTTTCAGTTTTTTTCCTTAAATAGAAATCCTCTTCCATCTCTGTATGATCTTCTCATCTGCATCCTGATTTTTTTTTCAGGTTCTAATTTCTCCTAGAGTCAAGCATTTGTGGCATATATTTTGCACAGAAATGCATTGTTGCATTTTTGGTGTGTCTCTTGCAGCTATGTGTTTCCGTCCTGACATCTGTGTTCTACGTGTTTCCCTTTCTACCTTCCTTCCGTCTTTCCTTCCTCTTTTGACTTTAGTATTTTTTGTATAGTTGCCATGTCATTTGTTTTTATTTTGATTCTTTGTGACCTGGATGTTTTTACCTGGATTTTCCATTTAGTCTAATAATTGAGTTGGCTCCTTCCTACCTCACCTGTGATCTCTTTGTTCTCTCCTCAGCCCTTTAGTTGAAGATTGGGTGTTTTGTGTCTGCTTTGGGTGCTTGGGTGGTAGAGAAAAGGGGAAGTTCAGATAGAGCTATCAGTGGCAGTATTTTTAGGGCTGGTTTCTGCTTATTTTCTTTTCTTGTTCATAGTCTAAAACTTGAATTTATTATACCAAATTGGGTGGACAGTAGTGGGTTTTAGACTGCTTCATCAATTTGGGGTGGAATCGTAGAGACAGCATACCTAGGTATGTGTTTTCCAGACTGTACCCAGCCCTTGCCAGTATCCATTCACTATTCTGCCAGGCAAAAGAAGGAAAAAGATAGACAAAAATCCAAGGAAATCTGTCACTGTGCTATTTTTCAGAAGTGGAAAGTGGGGAGAGGATGGCTTCAGTTGGGGGCTTTCCATGTGTTTCCTGCCACTCACTCCATCAGAAGGGCTTGCTTTATTTATTTTTGGTCTTTGCTCTGGTAAATCCCTACATACTGTTCAAGGTAAGCAACTCTGATAGAACACTGTGCAATCATTCTGTCTTTCCTCTTTTTTCCTCCCCAGTAGGAAAATCTCAATGGCAACACAGGCAGATTTTTCTCTCTCTTTGAAGTGTTGGGATGGTGGAATGGAGACTGTTCCACTCTAGAGGAACACTCTGAACTCCTCCACGGGCTGCCTCCTCACCCCCTCTTGTCCACTTCCCTTCATGTTGTTGTGGTATGCTGGCAAAAGTTGGCCTTTCACATCTGCCTTTTAGAACTCATTCAGTAGGGAAGAAGAAAAGAATAGGATCCCCACATTTACTCCTAGTAATTTCTGTCTTTTTCTAGCCCTATTTTTTAAAAACTATTGCCTTTTCCTGTATTTGAACATCGCTGGTATATTTCTGACTGGTTTTAAATTTTTTGAGGTTACTTGGGTTGCATTCAGGAGGGAGATGCTAGAAGCCATAACTAAACTGGTTTATTTCTTCTTTCTTTCTTTTTTTCTTTTTTTGGCCCAACTTAGAGGAGTCTTCCAGGCAAAAGGCTTTGATATGACTTTCACTTGATTATTAGCCTTTGGATGATTCAGTCAATCATACAGAGTTCTCAGAGGCCCGCTGCTCAATTGGTTCTCTACTCCGTGTGGTTGGGATATACAAACATACAATAAAAGCCAGAGACAACATGAGGTTTACCATCTGTCACATGGAAATGTAGAGAGCAATAAATGCCAGGACTGAACCCAAGAGTTGACAGGTAGTTAAGAGACCAGCTAGTCCAAGGTTATACCCAGAGAAGAACTGTCTCATCTCTGACAAATGGCTCTCTAGCCTTTATTTGGGCACTTTAAATATCAGGAAACTTATAAATACCATTCAGTTATTTAAAAGCTCAAAATATTTAAAGACTATTTACCTTGAACCCAACTATCTCTCCTCTTCTGTCTGCTTAGTCTCCCTCATGAAGCTTCTATCCACACTAGTCCTAGTCTTAGCTCCATTTAGATGGTTGCTACAACTGTGTCTATAGTCTTGATCTTCAGCCCGGCCTACAATCCTGGAAAATGACCAAGCAGGTCAGAAAGCTACTAGATGAACAGTCATCAGGGACAGTAGCACATGGATAAGTGTAAATTCTTGCATATAAATGGAGAGCAATCATTGTGTATGATGAGGATAACTGAACTGGCTCAAATAAAACAGATTTGAGGCTTTACTTAACTCTAAATATACTGTGAGCCCATAGCAAGGTGAGCAATTCTACGCTGCTTGAATAACAAATGTCAGTGTCCTCCTGTGTAAAACTTGTCAGAGCACATCTGGAATAGCAGCAGAACAGAATGTGAAGCAATGGGTGGTATCTGTTCATCATGGGCCACACTAGGCCACAATGAACAGCTGGAAAAATGGAGCTAGTGGCTGCAGAAGGGATGTTTTGGAGAGGCACAGAGCTGTTTTCAAACAGGAGAAAGATAGATCTATGGGCAAGGGCATACTTGGTTTGCTCTTTCTGCCATTACAGCACAGACCAATGATTTCAGGAGGTAACAAAAAGCTCTTTGTTGGCTCTGTTGACCAGAAGGCACCTGTATTTCTGAGATCTGTGAAAGGTCTAGTGACCTTAGCTTTATCCTGGAAAATCCCTGTTTCTATTCCTATTTCTGGGAGCAGGAAATTAGATTTCTAGGCAGGATCTGGAAGATAGAACTTTTGAATTTATTTGAGAAAGAAGAATTTGGTAAGATAATTTCCTGAGAGGCTGGTCAAATAGAAGGTTTCTTTCTCCAAACATTAAAACTCAGCAGCTTCCAGTTTTTAGAAACCAGCATCTGACCCCAGACACAAGATCTTGCTTGATAGCACTTGGGAGACTGAAGCAGGGGAATTGTGAGTTTAAAGCCAGCCTAGACTACATAGCAAGAACCTGTCTCAAAAAAAATAAAAAATAAGCAGAGAGAGAGATTGTGATTGGTACTGTGGGGTGCTTTGGGAAGAATGAAATCTAGCTGCATTATTTACTAGGTCTGTTATTTACTAGGATTTCCTACCTGTAAAATAAGGTGATTAAGTACTACTTCAGTGGGTCGTTATGAGAATAAAGTAAGATGAAAAGTATAAAGCCACTGGCTTATAATGAGGTACTAATAAGTTTTGAGGCTCTTCCTTGTCCCCTGAAACCAGTTGCCAATAGTACTGCTGTGATTTCAAACAGACATTTTCTAAGGAAGCACTTTTGTTTTTCAGGGCTCCCTTCTGAATTCTCCCCACCGATGGAGGATGAAGAGTCAAAAAGTGGCTTAGATGTCATGCCCAATATTTCTGATGTGCTGCTGCGCAAACTGCGGGTCCACAAGTCTCTCTCTGGAAGGTAAAATCTGAATGTGGGCTACAGCAGACCCTGTATTGGGTGGCCCCTGGGTTAGAGTCTCAGTTGAACACAGCGGAGAATCAGTCTTGGTTCCTATCCCCCAGAAAGGCCAGTGGTCCAGACAATGGTAATGCATCTAAAACAAAAGAATAAGAAGGGCCAGACTGGGTGTTTCCAACTCTAAGAGCATGTGGGTTCACAAGTGGGTGCAGCCATTGAGGACGTGAAGTTCACCAGAGGTTCATGGTAGCAGAGGATGGTGGACTCTGAGCCAGGAAACATGGGTTTCAATCCAGATACATCATTTACCTCTAACTGGGAGATTCTAGGACTGATACCTGTATAGACAGAGATGTAGAACGATTTAGAACCATATGAAGAATTACTTGGAAAACCTACCAGACTCCCCTCTCTTGTGGGGAGAAAGTCCTTTTTCTTTCTAAGCCTTGTTGGCTTCATTGCTTTTACAGTAAGGGTCCTAAGTTCTCTGTTGTTGGTACGATGTGTGCTGGCTAAATGAGACCATGGGTGAGTTGGGACTTGGGATGGTGTTAGCCCAAGTTATAAATGGGTTGAAAAGTGAACAGTTTGAGATTTGCGATAGTGAAGTTGCAAGATCATGAAATAGAGCATAAACAGAGAATGACATAGGAGTGAAAACACTGGGTAGGGAGTTGAGGAAGACAATTATGATAAATAATAATGAATCTGAGACATACAAATGACAAAAAGAAGCTTTCCATGCAAAACTTTTGACAAATAGATTAAACAAACAACAAAAAAAAACAATAGTAATGTCAACAAATGGTGCTGAGACAACTGAAAGCCACATACAATGCACAATGCACAAAATTAAACACAAAATGGACCAGTGGCCTAAATGTAAGAGATTAATACTATAGAACTCTTAGAAGAAAACAGAGGAGTAAATCTTTACAGTTAGTCCATGGTTTGTTTTTTTTTAAGATATGACACCAAAAACACAAGCAGCAAGATTAAAAAATAGATGAATCGCCTCATCAAAATAACAAGTCTGTGCTGCCAAACAATGCACCAAGAAAGTGAAAGATAAGCTGGGGGTGTGGCTCAAGTGGTAGAGCACCTGCCTAGCAAGCTCAAGGATCTGAGTTCAAACCCCAGTACCACCACCACCAACAACAAAAAAGGCAACCCAAGAATGGGAGAAAATACTACTTACAAGTCATTTATCTGATAAGGGACTTGTTTCTAGAATATATAAAGAATAATTGTAACTCAATAAAAAGGACCAAGTTCTCAAAATGGACAGAGGATTTAAATACACATTTCATCAAAAGAAGATACACAAGGGGTCATGTGAAAGGTTCTCTCACCTTTCATTGGTCCACGCCTCTGCCTCCTAGCTGCCTACACCAGTTTTTAAGGCACAGCTGACTCAGGTGCTGACCATGTTGGGTGGCTTCTTTGCCTAAATCACGCCTCCCTGAGTCTCCAGTTTTCAACATTAAAAAAACAAAACAGAGCTGATGTGCTGGATAGCAAAAAAAGCAGCATGTGAGTCATGGAAAGGGGAAAGTAAGTTGGATTAATTATTTATGAAAGTATGTAAATTTCACATAGTATCCAAACAAACCTGGGAGTCAGAGGCACCCTCAGGGGCCTTGATAAATCATTCAGACAGTGTGTATGCTCCGCGCACCAGTGAACAGAGTGTTGGCCCTCAGAGGAAGGGGCCTGCTGGGTGCAGTTGGGACAAGAATTGTAAGCATCAGACATCTTTGCAGTTGTTTATCCCATGTTCTGTTCTCTGCTGACTTGGTAGCCATGGGGTCTTGCTGCCTCATCCTGACAGGAAGGCCCTCACCGTCCCTGACGAAGGGTGAGAACCAGCCCCTTGCAGAGATGGCTGACCCCCTACCTTTGCTCTCGGGTCCCTCTGCACCCGTCAAAGGGAGGAAGCTGTGTTTCCTGAGAAGTTTATTGATGGTGTGCTCTCTCGCCAAGTCCTGTGATGCTGCTGGGACCCCTCCTGGCCTCCCCACCCAGCACAGGAAAGGACCTTGTGTTATTTACATTATCTGGGCTTTGAATGGGGCCAGCTTTAGTTATTAACAAGGGTAGCAGCGTCAGTCACACAGAGTGAGTGTGCAGATAAGGGTGCTGCTTACTGGGCACAGACTGTGGGAACTGCACAGGAACCTTACAGAAGGTCACCTCTGTGCCAGCGGGGATTCTCTTGTCACTCTCAATCCAGTCATCGGAGGGCTTCTCAAAGGAGAAGAACTCCAGCCACACTCTTTTATTCTCTAGCCCAGCCCACAGAGACAGGGAGGGTTGGCTTTTTCAGGCCTAGGTAGTTCCAGAAAAATTATAATGCAACTCAAAGGTGTACAGTTTGTAAATTACAAATGCACATGCATTTTCCTATTAATTCTTCACAGCAGACCTGTGATAATAGCTAACATTTCCTGAGTGCCTATTGATTGTGAATGTCATATACAGTCATCCTGTGGGGGATTAGTTCCAGGACCCCCACCCCACTCTCTGAATGGATACCAAAATCCGTAAATGCTTAAGTCCCTTGTATAAAACGGGGCAGTATCTGCAGAGAAAAATCACATCCTCCTGTGTACCTTTTTTTTTTTTTTTCATTTTTCTTTTATTATTCATAGGTGCATACAAGGCTTGGTTTATTTCTCCCCCCTGCCCCCCCACCCCCTCCCTTACCACCCACTCCACCCCCTCCCGCTCCCCCCCTCAATACCCAGCAGAAACTATTTTGCCCTTATCTCTAATTTTGTTGTAGAGAGAGTATAAGCAATAATAGGAAGGAACAAGGGGTTTTGCTGGTTGAGATAAGGATAGCTATACAGGGCATTGACTCACATTGATTTCCTGTGCGTGGGTGTTACCTTCTAGGTTAATTCTTTTTAATCTAACCTTTTCTCTAGTTCCTGGTCCCCTTTTCCTATTGGCCTCAGTTGCTTTAAGGTATTTGCTTTAGTTTCTCTGCATTAAGGGCAACAAATGCTAGCTAGTTTTTTAGGTGTCTTACCTATCCTCACCCCTCCCTTGTGTGCTCTCGCTTTTATCATGTGCTCATAGTCCAATCCCCTTGTTGTGTTTGCCCTTGATCTAATGTCCACATATGAGGGAGAACATACGATTTTTGGTCTTTTGGGCCAGGCTAACCTCACTCAGAATGATGTTCTCCAATTCCATCCATTTACCAGCGAATGATAACATTTCGTTCTTCTTCATGGCTGCATAAAATTCCATTGTGTATAGATACCACATTTTCTTAATCCATTCGTCAGTGCTGGGGCATCTTGGCTGTTTCCATAACTTGGCTATTGTGAATAGTGCCGCAATAAACATGGATGTGCAGGTGCCTCTGGAGTAACAGTCTTTTGGGTATATCCCCAAGAGTGGTATTGCTGGATCAAATGGTAGATCGATGTCCAGCTTTTTAAGTAGCCTCCAAATTTTTTTCCAGAGTGGTTGTACTAGTCTACATTCCCACCAACAGTGTAAGAGGGTTCCTTTTTCCCCATCCTCGCCAACACCTGTTGTTGGTGGTGTTGCTGATGATGGCTATTCTAACAGGGGTGAGGTGGAATCTTAGTGTGGTTTTAATTTGCATTTCCTTTATTGCTAGAGATGGTGAGCATTTTTTCATGTGTTTTCTGGCCATTTGAATTTCTTCTTTTGAGAAAGTTCTGTTTAGTTCACCTGCCCATTTCTTTATTGGTTCATTAGTTTTGGGAGAATTTAGTTTTTTAAGTTCCCTGTATATTCTGGTTATCAGTCCTTTGTCTGATGTATAGTTGGCAAATATTTTCTCCCACTCTGTGGGTGTTCTCTTCAGTTTAGAGACCATTTCTTTTGATGAACAGAAGCTTTTTAGTTTTATGAGGTCCCATGTATCTATGCTATCTCTTAGTTGCTGTGCTGCTGGGGTTTCATTGAGAAAGTTCTTACCTATACCTACTAACTCCAGAGTATTTCCTACTCTTTCTTGTATCAACTTAAGAGTTTCCTCCTGTGTACCTTAAGTCATCTCTAGATGACTAACGCCATGCATATTCTATGTAAATAGGTGTTATGTATATTATTTAGCAGTCGTGATGCCCCAAAAGTCTGAATGTGCTTTGTACAGACACAATTTGTTTGAATGTTTTCAATTTACAGTTATTGAATCCAGTGATATGGAGGGTGACCGTATTCACATATACACACACACGTGTTTATCCATACATGTATGTGTATATATATATGTATGTACATACATATATAAATATTCATAATAAAACTTCTGCAAAGTAGATGGTATTGTTTCCATGTTACAGTTGAAGAACAGCTGTGTAAAGTCATGGAGACAGTAGAGACACTGCTGAAGGAGTGACATCAGCGTCTGTTATTTTCTGCCACACTACCTCTGTGAGGGTCAATGTGTCTGATGACAGAGCACACAAAGGGACTCCATGTTGCTTCCATCTCATCAATTCAGCTTGCTCCATTCCTGGAGACACCTGTGGGTTTGTTTAACAGGTTGGATAAAGTTCATTTGTGCATTTTTTCTTTTTCTTTTTTTATCTTTGCAGTGCCCCTCCACTTACTGAAAAGGAAGTTGAGGTAAGTGACTCAACTGCTTTATGAAATTCAGTGCCTCTGCTTGACTGGGCTTATTCAAAACATTCCTGCCTCAGACTCTGGCCCTCCCATTTTTAAACAAAAGTGAGAATGAGTGACTGTGGGATAACATGGATGGCCATACCCAGCCCTCCTGAAGTGCTGAAATCCCACTCCTGCCCAGTTAATGGAGGATTTTGACAAATTAGGCCAGAGGTGAGAAGGTAGTTGGGAATTCCACATTCCTTCAAGAACTATTTATGTTCTTTAAATGTGTGACAAAGTCAGCTGGAAGGCTGCAGAATTGTACCAAATTTATTTCAAAATTATTAAAAGGTGGCCAGATTTCAAGTTTCAAACTTTGGTATAGAGGAAAATGATGCTTACCTTTGGAGGGCTTCCACTACAAGAAAGCCAAGTTGGCTGACAGTGGGATCGCCCACAGCACAGCCTCCCCTGAATTGATCATGACTCCTTGTCCCAGTATGGGTGGCAAGTGAGCTAAGAGGAACTTCTGTTCCATCCTAGTGACAGGGTAGATCAGCATGAAATGCCTATCACAGGATAGCAGCAAGAGCCTTGTACCAGTTCACAAGACACTCCTGGGTCACACTTTCAGTTCTGAAAGCAGGCAGAGCAGGAATTAAAACAGAGGAGAAAGCTAAGTGATAAAATAATTTACCCAAAATGTTCCAAATCCAGTCCTTAGTAAAACCACATTTTGGACCCAAGTGTTTTGACTGAATTCAGAATTCTTTGTGTCATTCTTCCTTTAAGGGGATAACCAGGCAGAGGGAACTGAGCATTGAGCCTCATTCACAGACTTGACAGATTTGGTAGGTCGCCACTGGCCTGTGAGCGTAAACCCCACCCTAACATCTGTAGAGATGGGCCACGGGCAGTTAACTTAATGGCCAGATCCTGTCCTCAAGTGTATACTAACACAGTCAGCTGTCAGCAAGGTGGAAGTAAAATAGGCTTTGGAATCAGACAGTCTAAAGTTAAGTCCTGGCTCTGCTGCTCCCTGTGTTACCTCAAACATGTTAATGACCTCTGGGGTCTCAGAGTCTTCACCCATAAAATGGATATAACCTAGAGGGTCGTGTGAGATTAAATGAGGTAAGGTTCATAAAACTCACAGTAGTACTAGCAGATAGTAAGCGATCAGGAGTTGTTTTCGATATTTCTACCATCATCTTCATGGAGTCAGTTCAATGCCTTCAGTTCTCTGGAGATGGCTTGCCATGGGCCATGTTATATGAACTTCAGAAGCTCAAGCAGAGTCAGGGACCACAGAGTATAAATCTGCTACCACTTGGCTCAGGAAGAGCAGGTGAAGGCTGTAAAGAGCCTTCCTCCCTCCCTCCCTGCCTTCCTCCCTCCCTCCCTCTCTCCCTCTCTCCTTTCCGTCCTTCCTTCTTATGGAGTCCATTTGTCTATTTCTCTTTACCAGCAGCTTCCTATTATTCCAAGAATTGCATGTACAATCAATATGACCTTTCAAAATTCATTCATGAATGCCACAACATTTGGGCATGGAATATTTATTCCAGAAAGCTTATCCTAACTGAGTCACACCTGGCTTTATTTAATCCCCTGGCAGCTACTTAAGGCTGCTATGAATGTAGAACTTAGAATACCCAGGCTAGATGCTAGTTGAAGTTTGCTTTAAATCATCAAGGTTTAAATCTCAGATGGGGCTTCTTTAAATACAGAGGTTTTATGCAAAATCCCCCATGCAATAAATCCAAACTGCTTATACAATCCGCTGCACTAGCCTATGTTTATAGAAACCCAAACCCAAGATCTCATTTTCTTGAGACTCAGAGAAAAACAGAATGTCATTCTCTCCTGTTAGTAAAATGCATTTGGCCTTCTGGTCCTGGGGAAGGCCAAGCATGGACCTCAGTTTACTACTTTTCCATCTTTTGTGTGGTTTACTGGGAGGCACTTGCACATGGCTGCCTTGGTGACTGCTGTAAAATTCAAGGAAGAAGCCCACTGCAGCCTTAGTCCCTGCGGTAACTCCTCCTAGCACCTCTCCCACACTCTTGTTCCCAACAGAACGTGTTTGTGCAACTGTCCTTGGCCTTTAGAAATGACAGCTACACCCTGGAATCTAGAATTAACCAGGCTGAAAGAGAACGCAACCTGACAGAGGAGAACACAGAAAAGGAACTGGAAAACTTCAAAACTTCCATTACGGTAATTATGGGGCCTGATTTCAGGAACTGCTGCAGGAGAGACTGTCATTAGGGCCATGCTGAGTGTTATGCTTCTCTCAGTTACTCAGTAGAGTTTCCTGAAATAAGAAATCAGGCCAAAATCCTGACAGTTGTCCACAGAGATCTTGGAGGAGCTAGAGCAGAGATTCTGAAGGCTTGGTGGTCAGGTCTCTGAGCCCTTGGGAGCCTCTCAGGAGGGGACCAGAGGCCTGGATATGACTCATTCTGTTAGGTTAGCCATGTAGAGAGCATCCACAATGGGCCTCTCCGGTCCCTAGAAGACACTGGCCTGGGCCCTTCTGAGGCCTCTTCTCCCAGTCAGGATGAGGTCAAGTCCAGGCTTGGAATGTGTTTTAGTTAGCTTGGCTGCTATGACAAAGTGTCCTAGGCTGGGGGCTTAAGCAATAAACATTTATTTCTAATGGTTCTGGAGGCTGGAAGTCCAAGATCAAGGTTGCAGCCTGGTCAGGTTTTGGTGAGGGCCCTCTTCAGGCTTGCAGACTGCTGACTTCTCATTCTACCCTGACATGGTAGAACAAAAGAATTCTCTAGAGCCCCTTTTATGAGGGTTCCAATCCCACTTGTGAGGGATCCACCCTGTGACCTAATCACCACCCAAAGGCCCCACGGCCTAATCCCTCACATTGGGGATTAGGATCTCAGAATATACATTTTGGAGGGCACAGACATTGGGTCCATAGCACTATGTGAGCACTGCAGGTGATGCTCCTTGTTGCTCCTCAGTCCTCAGCATCACTCTGGCACCACTGTGAGCACCGTGAGACCTACCAGAAGCTGCTGGAGGACATCGCAGTCCTGCACCGCCTGGCTGCCCGTCTTTCCAGCCGAGCCGAGGTGGTGGGGGCTGTCCGCCAGGTGAGCCCAGACAATGCCCAGACTTGGTGACTGGCTCTGCTCTACCCACAGGAACCAGCATGATGACATGATCAGGGACAACAAGAGATACCACCTGGTGATAGCTGGGTCTAGGGCCTGTTTAACATGACCTGTTATGTCTGAATATGTCTCAAATGTATTTGACTGAAGAACCTGCCTGTCTGCTCTTATAAAATATCTGTTCAACTCCTATGGAACTCCTAAAAGCATGCTTTTAGGAAACTTTATTCCAGTAGTAACCCTATAAAGTGGCCATTCTTTTCCCCAGATGAAGAGGCAGACTCAGAAAGATACAGGTTGAGCATCTCTCATCTGAAAATCCAAAGTTTTTGAGTACCTACATGTTGCCACAAATAGAAAATTCCAAACCTGACTTTATGCAACAAGTCACAGACAAAACACATGTACTAAAAATACTGTATAAAGTTATCTTCAAGTTATGCATATAAGATATGTATGGAACACAAATGAATCATGTTTAGATTTGAGTCCCATCCCTGAGATCTCGTAATGTATATGCAAGTACTCCAAAACCTCCAAAAAATCCAAAACCTAAAATCCTCTGGTCCCAAGCACTTCAGATAAGGGATACCAAACCTGTAATGGCTCTAGCAAGTGGCAGAGCTGGGGTTCAGGCCCAGATGGGGCTCCCTCTTGGCCTCTGAAGTCCTAGAGTACACAGAGCTCCAGCATGATGTTGAGGGGCCACCCTGGCTCCACCCCTCTTTTGCTGTGTGACCGTGGGCCAGTTACAACGCTCCCTACACCCTAGCTGTAAGAGGGATGATTGTGCTGTCTGCCATGCAGGCACTTGGATGTCATTATAACTGTTGCTGCTATCATGGACCTGTGTCTGGCGGTCCAGCTGGTGTGAAAGAGTGTTCTTGGGGTGCATCCCTGGGCACCTCCTGTGAAATGAAAGAAGGCCAAGCCACATGGCTGATCCACCCTTGTGTCCTTCTGGAGAAAGTGCTCCTGACTTAGTAGTGTGGCCCAGGAAGTCACCCAGCTGGGAGAGGCAATATAAGGAGGATGTTGGGAAGTGGCTGGTCTCAGCTCCACATGGTTGTGGGGACCTTTACCAGTGAAATTAAGGGGAACATCCCTCAAGGAAAAACAGGGCCTGAGCAAGGTCCTCTTAGGGACCCGTGAAGAGGGGAAGAACAAAGAAAAGCCATCCTCACTGTGTACTTTCCAGTGTGTTGATAGTCTCATTGTTATTCATTCCATCTTCAGGCTTCTGTATTATTTATTTATTTGGTCTCTCTCTGTAGCCCAGGCTAGCCTTAAACTGGCAATCCTCCTGTTCTAGCCTCCCAAGTGCTGAGATTACAGGCATGTATCACTATGCTTTCACCCTTTTTTAAATGGCTCCCTAACCCTGACTTCTGCATCTCAATCCTCACCTTCTTCTCTGGTTCCACTGGACTAGTTCAGGCTTATGTTCTGTCTTTCCCTGTTCTCTCACTGCCACCAGTCTCACTGACTTCAGTGCTATCTTCACTCATGATCTGACTGTGCCATACCTTTAAGACATTCAGTAGGTCTTCTTTTCCTTCAGAATAAGACCCAGTTCCTGCACCAAGGTCCTTCACAACCCAGTCCTAATACATCTGCTCCTCTTCCAAGCATACCCATTTGCTTTTTGATTTCTACATGAGCAGGATGACTACACTGTGCTGGCTCACTGACAGCCCTGGTTCATGCCTATTGCCCTAGCATAATTTGTAATGGAGCCCCCTTTTACTCTCCAAAAGATTCCTGTCGAGAGGATAAATCCTCACCTGCACATAAGCCCTGGGAGATCTTGCCACTGGACTCCTTTTGGGATTCCCTGGCTTATGATCATTGTCCCTCTTTCCCATTTTTAGGTGCCTGGATGTTACCCAATCCCTTCCTCCTCTCACCACCTGCAACAGGTGGCTATGCTTTTCTTGTTCTCCTTGGACACAGCTGTCTGACCAGCTCTCAGCCCAACATGGAGGGCAGCGGACTCTCAGGGAAGATTCACAGCTGACGGGTCCCTGTGTCCTTTCCATTCTCACAACCCAAAGCCTCAGTCAGAGCTTGACAAGTACCGATGGCACCTTTTCTCCAACTACCCTGCACTCACACTCTTCTTCCCTGCAGGAAAAGCGCATGTCCAAAGCAACCGAGGTGATGATGCAGTACGTGGAAAATCTGAAGAGGACGTACGAGAAGGACCACGCGGAACTCATGGAGTTTAAGAAACTTGCAAATCAGAATTCAAGCCGCAGTTGTGGCCCTTCTGGTAAGGAACTAGCCTATAGCCCCCATGTTGTTCATGCATTGTGGGCCTCTGGTGGCTCTCAGCTAAGAGCAGAAGAATCAGGACAGCCCCAGGACCTATTTCTAGTAGGGCAAGTCTCCCTGCTTCTGCCCAATGCTGCCCTCCGGGCCCTTGGAGCAGCTATTCTCCCATGAGCCGGGGGCATTGGGGACTCAAAGTGACCTGACTCCCTACCCAGCCAGAGTGGCTGGCTGCAGGTGCAAAGCCCACAAGCTGTAACAGCCCCCTCTACTTTGTGAGAGTCACCTCAGACCCTTGAGTCTCTGTGCTTTGGAACATTTTAGGTAGCACATGCTAAGGAATTTGGGCTTTATTCTGAAAGCATTATGGATCCAACCAAAGATTCTAATCAGGGAAATGGCATGATCACATATGTAGTCTAAGCAGGCTCCCTCTAACCCAGGATGCCAGTTACACCATTGGGGCAAGCCAGCAGCAGCAAACCCCACAGAGATGCTGTTACCACGGCCCAAGTGGCAGGAAGTCCGGGCAGTGGGGGTGGAGTGAGGACCTGGCTAAAGGAGATCTTGTTTAGATTTTTTAAAAAACCCAAAAAACAGCAAATGTTTTAAAGAAATAGTCTACTTTTGTAAGTTCTGTACAAATTGCTATCGGAGCAGGGAGGAAGGTTGGCTGATTCTGCTTGCAGGAATTAAGGGCACCTGGTCGGGGCTTCGTGTACAAATCGGAGTTCTGCAGTCAAGAGGGTGGGAAAGAAACAGCATAAGATTGGGGTGAGAGAAGGTAAAACAGTTTGATGTGTTTGCAATGCTGGGTTAGGGTGGTGACGTGTTGGAGGTGACACTGGGCATACCAGGAGTACCTGCCAGGCCATGCAAACAAGCATGCCTTTGTCCCAGAGCACAGAAAGTCATGGTGCACCTACGTCACGTGCCGTGACCAGGTTTTATTTTTAGAGGATTGACTGTGTACACAGTGCAGTCAGTGTGTAAAAGTTGGAGTAGAAAAAGGTGAGCTAGGAAGCTCTTGCTTAACCCAGGAGGGAGATGACAGTACCTCTGACCAGAATCTCTCCTCGGGTGCTGCCAGGGTCTGGGCTTGGTCTGAGGAGGGTGCCAAGCTGGAGAAAAGGCTGTCACATCAGGAATCCCTGGGGAATGCAAACATCCGTGTTACCAAGGGCGGGAGGAGGGAAAGTATAACAGATGGAGAAACCTTTGTAAACAGGAGGTTCACAAGTTTCCTGGGGAATATCAGTGACACGTCCCAGAGTCCAAAGGCAGTGTACACATGCTCCTGTCTGCTTTGGATCTCAACAGCCAGGCTCCTTGACCCACAGGCATCTGGCCTCTAACAAACCTCTCCTGACTGGCAATGCAAGTAAAAGTTGCCCCAAAGAAAATCCTAGGACGCTAGTGCATGGGTTCTCCTATTATTTCCCTGCAAGTTCCAAGGTCTCCTGCCAACCACCTTAGCAACTACCTTTGTGCATGATGACACACCCCTGTAATCCCAGTACTTGAGATACTGAGGGAGGAGGATGGTGAGTCTAAGGCCAGCTACATAGCAAGACCCTATCTCAAAAAAAAACAACCAAACAAAAAAGATTTATGGGATGAACAGTTACCCATGAGTCTCATTTATTCATTCTATCTACATTTATTGGGCACCTTTGGTATGCCCGACATGATACTGGAATGTGGAGTTAAAGGGCATACAGTCCCAGATCCAAAGGGGCTCCCAGCTTATGGGAGGCCAGGGCAGCATAGCCATTGCTGTGACAGAAGAAAACAGACTCTTATGGGGAGTGTGCTGAGACCCCACATTCAGTCTGGGAATGAAAAGAATGTTCATAGGAAAGGCATGACAGCTGAGCTTGACTCATGAGCCAATGGTTTGGGGGATAGTCAGACCTACCTCAGTTTCTCCAGGCTGTATCTCCACATGGGCTTGGGCTGGGGCAGACAGACAGGCAGAACCCACTCAGGAGGTGTTCCATAAGATGTGCTTTGACAATTCTCTAATAGTGTTTGTGTTTTTAAGCCTTTAAATGACTCTGGCAATCTTTGTCTATCACTGAGACTTTAAAGACTATAGTGATATAAAAATCCCTGATTTCAAAAATGATGTACTTCAAAAAATATTTTTAATGCAACATGCTGATTATCTGCCTTTGGGATTATTTCCTTAAGCTAGATTTCTAGAAGTATAAAAACTAGCTCTGGGAAATATGTATAAGGTTTTAGAGCAAATTATTGTCATATAACTCATTGGGTTTCCATTTAATTAACTTTCAGCCCATCATTGTTCTTAATTCATTGTGCCATTGACCACAATTCTTGTTTTTTTTAAAAACTATGACTTTTTAGATCCAAAATATAATTTGTGTTTCTGTGCTTTTTGAAATATTTATTAAACATATATACCTCCAATTTTGTAAATTCCTTTTTTTTTTTTTTGGCGTTCCTGGGATTTGAACACAGGGCCTCACCTGTAAATTCTTTTATAAGATCTTTACCTACTTACTTGTAAAATAGGTGTTTTATTAATTTATTTGAACTCTTCATATATAAAGAATATTTCCTGGTTCTGCTATTTTGGCTGACTGCAAAACTTGCTGCTGGACAAAAGTAAAGCAAGCAGTCTCAAAGAATAGCTGAATCCACAAGAAGAGAAATTGAAATACGCAGGAACAAGAAAAGAGAGAACTGAAACCAAGCTGTGACCCTGCAGCTTCCTTGGAGATAGATAGAGTCAGTCTCAGTTATTTGGGGGCTGAGCATTCACTTCCAAGGTGATCTGAGATAAGGCCTTGAACCCTCCTGGTAGAGTTGACACTAGACTCACACAGAGAGAGACCTTTCAAGGACTGTATCTTGGGACAGGATTTGCATAAGGTAAAAGCAATCACCAGCCAGCAGAGAAACAAGGAAGCTTGACTGTTTCCTTCTGTGCTATAGTAGGAAAAAATACTTTCTCCTTCCTCATAGGAAAAGTACATGCCCAGAGTGACAGCAGCGATGATGCAATGTGCAAAAATCTGAAAGAACAGCAAGATGGTAGCTCTAGGAACACTATCAGCCACGCTGGAGAGATACACCCTGTACCCAGGGCACGTAGGATCCTTCACTGAAGACCAGTTCACAGTGTAAAATAATAAAACACACAAGAAAACAATCTATCAGGAATGAGAATCATCAGACCCACCAAACTATTGAATTATATCCTAAAAACATCAGATAGTAAAATAATCTGAATTTTAAAAAAGGATGCATTTAAAGGCCAGATATGGTGGAGCACACCTGTAATCACAAGTTTTCAGGGAGCAGAGGCTGGAGGATCGTGGCTTAAGGCCAACTGAGGCAAAGTTAACTTGAGACCCTACCTGAAAAGAAAACTAAAAGCAAAAGGACTGAGGGTGTGGCTCAAGTGGTAGAGTACCTTTCTAGCAAGTGCAAAGCCCTGAGTTCAAACGCCAGAACCACCAGAAATTTTTTAATTATTAGAGGCATAAAAAGATGGATGGAAAGTATGAGAACAAAATGATACAGTTATCAAAAAGTTGAAATTGAACTCTTCAAAAAAAGAACTAGAGTTATGGAATTAGAAAACTCAGTTTAGTTGTGGTAGATGTGGCTACTATAGATAAGATGATTTCTCAGTATTTCAGATCTCCTTCTTCTGAGATTCTTCACCATCTCCTTGAAGTTAGGCAAGGCATGTGGCAGGCTTTGTGAATGAAATGTGTCACAGCTGAGCTGAGGCTCTAAGAACCAGAGTGCAGTTTGCCCGGCATTTCTTCCTCCTCACCTGACACCCATTCTATTCCAGAATACTAGAAGCTCCATCATGACTGGAAGATAGATTTCAGATAGTTACCCAGAATGCAGCAACTTAAAAAAATAAAAGAAGCATCATGATACATATGATATAGAGTCAGAAAGTCTGTAACCTATCTATTAGGTGGTCCATAAGGAGAAAATCAGGGACAAAAAGTATTCAAAGAAAGAATAGCTGTAGATTTCTAAAACTAAAGAAAGATCTAATTTGTTGGATTCAGAAAGCATAGTGAATTCCAAGCAGAAGAAATAAAAGCATGCAAAATGGAAACCTCAGAAGAGCAAGATGAATGAAGGTCTAAAAGTAACCAGAGAGAGAAGATTGTTTACAAAGGAATGTAATCCACAAAAGCAATAAGAGTACCAGAAGAAAATGGGGTAACCTCCTAAAGTATGAGAGAAAATAATGGTCAACCTATAGATTACACTTAGATACAAACTATCACGCAGGGTTGAGGGCGAGGTAAAGACATTTTAAGACAAGTAATGAGAAAGTTTACCTCTCACAGGTCCTTGCTGAAAGAACAGCTATAGAATGTAGTCAGGGAAGAATGAAATTGAGTCCAAAAGAAAGAATAGAATGCTAGAAAGAATGATGATCAAAGATACCCATAAGCAGGTGGGTGTATCAAAATAAGCATCCACTGTAGAAAATAATAATCGTAACAAATAATTAAGGGATATAAAATAAGGTGAAATAAAAAAGAGTAAAAAACAAGATAATTAAGGTTGAAGAGGATTGTTATTGCTTTAAGGTCAATTCAGGAAAAGAATAGAGATCTTGATTAATTTTAAAGTCAAATAATAAAGGCATGCATTAAAGATTGGAACTTGAATAGATAATGTCCAAACCAATGTGTGGGTGGAAGAGGGATTAGAAAAAAATCAATGACAAAAAAATCATTATCGTTGGTCAATGACACGGGTTTTGTCTAAGAGTCCCCACTCTGCAGATGATCATCTCAGAGGGTGAAGTGTCAAACTCAGTGTCCCCAACACTCAGACCACTGGAGTGTTGGGCCAGATCTTAGGCCATCCCTTGGAGTTCTGTTCTGGCCCATAAATACCTTGACTTAGTTTCTGACTGCCTGGGTCCTGTTGGAGTCTCACCTGAAACTTACATGAGTTCTCTTCTCTGTTTCCTCCTGCTACAGAAGACGGTGTCCCCCGCACAGCACGGTCCATGTCCCTCACGATGGGAAAGGTATGCATGTTCAAGGAGTACTGGGGCTCCCCGATGGCATGTGACAGAAGTTTCCATGATACCCAAGCAATCCTTCGCTATTGGATCCAGAGTTTCCATTCAGCTTTAATGCTAGTTTAGCCTCTGCCATCTCACTTTTCCTCCTATATGCACCTTCCCTGACTCTCTATCCCTTAAATGAACAGGACATGATGAATAGGCCATGGGGTTGCTATAGGCAGTATACATTATCAGAATGTTACTCAGACAGTGGGGAGGGGGGAGTGATTTCCATTCTGCTTCTTGAGGATCCATAATCTACAATAGGAACATGTTGAAAAATCACTCACCACAAACAGGTCCACCTTGGTTACTCTTTCCACACCAATTCCCAATACCATCAATGTCCCAAAATGTCCAGTGAATATTAGAGACCTAATAAGGTTTTTCCAGGTCTCTTAGAACTATGACTACCTCTGAGACAGCAGGCCTGGGTCGCTTCTCTTTCCACAGAACATGCCCCGCCGAAGGGTCAGTGTTGCTGTGGTTCCCAAGTTTAATGCCTTGAACCTGCCTGGCCAATCACCCAGCTCATCACCCATCCCCTCCTTACCAGTCCTGGTGAGTATGATGAGGTCGACTGACCATCCTCTTTGACCTTTCCTTCATGGTCATTATTGTGGGGAGACCAAGATGGGGCAGGGAAAACAAGGAGAGCAAATTTCCAGCACAGAATTTGAGTAATGGCCTAAAAAACTCAATGTAGCCCAGGCTACAACTGTATTCAACTACTCCGAAAAGAGGTCATGATGCCCTTGAGCAAGGCTTGAAGAGCTCAGAAAGTGTTCTTTCTGAACAGCACTCTTTCATGCTTGAATCACAGTTCTCTAAGGTGGGTATGGTTTTGTTCAGCTCTGCCGTGGAAGGTGGTAATGTATGGTGAGTGACAGCCTTTTGAACCTCAGCTCTCTGATCCTAGAGCCTAAGTTCTTAAACCCAGTGTTGTCCTGCCTTGATTCATTTCAGCATTGTCTATAACAACAAAACACTGAAAACAACCCAGTGAACCAGAGACTGGTGAATAAATTATGGATATCACTGTAAAGAGTTTCTATTGGATAGAATTACTGTCTATAATTTATTCTATAAATAGAAATTTAAATTATATATATATGCAAACTAGTATATTTATTGTATAATTCCAAATGTGTGTCTATCTGTAGAGAGACAAAGTTCAGGAAGGATATATGTGAAACTATTAGTAATGGTTATCTCTGGACAATGGCACAAAAGATAGCTTTTATTCTTGATGACTTTATATTTCTATAGAAAGAATGTATAGATAATAAAGTATCCATTTCAATGTCTTTAAACAAAGATAGTTTCTATATAAGAAAACATTTTCCATATCCCCATCCTACATATATATGGTTACTTCTCTCTGAAACTATTCTTTCTCCAGTGGTTTCTCTAAATCCTTAATTAACACTACTACATAATAAAGAAACAATTTGATTGTGTAAAGCTGTTGGTAGAGTAGATTCCAGCTGTATTGTGGCATTGATGGGTAACAATAGCTCTCAAGTTTCTTTCACCTCTTTTCACATTCAGTATTTCAGCCATCTATGAAATGAACTTGAACTCGCAAATCACTAATACAAAGCAACCTGAAAAAATTGAAAAGGAGAATGGGAAGAGCTGCTTAGTGTGTTTCAACAGACCTATTTTCCATATTCTACCTAAATGCATAAATATGCTTTCCAAATACAGATTTCTTTAGACCAGTGGTCAGCAACCAATGTTCTACATTAAAACCACAAAGAGTATTTGGAAAACACCTTGCCTACACTAAGACTCTGGAGTGGTTCTGTACTTTTAAAAGGTTCCCCCAGATGATTCTGGTGAAGCCAGAGTTGAGAAACACTTCTTAAGTCATATCCACTGCAACAACAGAACATGGGCAACTTGGGGAATTGATTATACAGAAATTCTGCTGGCTTGAGCATGTAGCATGACAGGTATCTCCTGACAGTTGTGCTTGGAGCCCTATCTCTGGGGGCAGTGAATGACTTGTGCAGGTCCATTCTGGGGAACATAAGACTTGCATTTGGTAGCCTGCCCATTGGTGTTCTGTCATAGTCAGGAAACAGGACATAGAAAAACTCATGGCTTCCCTCCAGAATGGAGCCTTAGAGTATAAACTCTGCTCTTCACTCAAGGAAATATAGAAGAGGAGAAGAAAAGGAGCAAGCCATAGGTGCCCTAGAGGGACAGGACCCTGGGGACAAGAGGACAGGGAAGGCCTGAGGGAAAGGGTGAACACATGGACTCTGATGCAGATTGAAAGTGGAAGAATGAGGGAAAAAGGAGAGGTAGTAGCAGCCTTTCCCCATCATCACCCAGCAGCCCTGGGTTCCTCCTTCATTGCTCATCCTTAATTTTCTGTCTCCAGTCAGAATCACCCAATGGGAAAGGCAACCTACCTGTCACCCCAGCACTGCCTGCACTTTTGGAAAAGTAAGTTTGTCAATTTTTCTGTTAATGTTTGGGGATCCCTAAGGAAAGTTTCCCTAGCTCATCGTCTTTCCTCCTATCCTCAACCCCAAAATGCAATGGAAAGAAAATTAAGTTCTAGAGGAAATGAACAAGACTCTGAGACCCACAGAGATTTCAGACCCACTTTGCAAAATTCTCAGACCACGAAGATGCTGTGAATGAGGCCCAGGGCACCCAATGTAAGAAGAGCCCAAGGGAGATGTTGATTGGGGTTCTTTGGTTTAGGGACACAAGAAAGCCCCAACTCAATAGGACTTGAATAACAAGTACAGAGGTGGGGCTGCTGCTGTGGGGCATGGCAGGGCTCCAGCTCAGTCCTACAATTCCTTGCCTCTGGCCACTTTGCATGTTGACTTCATCATAGCTGCTAATTCCAGGGATCTTAGACAGGACAATATCTCTAGAATATGATAGGCACCATTTCTCCCCCATTTTCTTTCTTGGGCATGAACCCAGAAGGCTTTCACAGCCTTCCCTCTTACTTCATTGGCAAGCTGGGAAGATAGTAGCTTTCTAAACCAACCATAGGCTTTGGGAAAGGAATTGTCATTAAGGGCTTAAACTACTCCTGGAGTTGGGGGGAGATCACCTTCTCCGGAAACACAGCAACTTCATGAAGAAGAGTAAATTCCCAAACAAAATTGTATTGCTGATAGAAAGGAGGAAGGAAGATGAGTATTGGGTTGGCAGCCAACTGTGTCTGATTTGCCTGACTTTTCTAGGCACCTAGGCTATTTGTAGGTCTTTTCATCTTCAGCCAGAGGAAGACAGACTGTTTCTATGTACTCAGAGAAGTTTATAACTTACTTTTCAAGTTCTTTCATTTGCTTGTTGAAAAACATCTGGATTGCAGCTGCGCCTCTCAGAACCTTCCCCTCGTGTCTTTCCTCACTTGGTGGAACTTACACCTTATCCTTCCTTCTTCCTTGCCTTGAGACAGCTTTAGTCCTTCATTTACCATTGCTGTTAGAAAATTTTGCTTGACCTGACAAGGAATGTAAATGCCGGTCCCCTTGTCAATGTAGACAATCTCCCAAACTCCCCACTTCCAAGCTCAGCCTGTTTCTCACCTCTCTGTGTGTGCAACTGCCCACTCCTCTCTCAGTGACTCCCTTGGATTAGTGTCACAGTTTGCCTAGTATTTACCCCCTTTGACACCTCACTGCCTACAAGTTTACAGGTCCTCCATGTTATGAAGTATATCTTCCCCCCTCCTCTCTCTTCTCCATCACTGCAGGGAAATTGTCAAGAGGTGATGAACTAACCACCATGTGGAAGTAACCAGGCTGCATAATCTTACCAAGTCCCTAGAGGGATAGTGCCTAGTCCATGGTCTCTAAATTGCTCCATAAATATACTCTCAGTGAGATCACCAAAATGGTCCCTGTCAACCTCACTTTTGGGCACACTAATCCCATTCCAGAGGGCCCTCATCATTCCCTATCCCCAGTTCTAGGCCTACAGAGCCAGTCAAGGCAGAAGACCTTCCTCTCCCGCAACAGACCCTAATGCAGTGGGGCAAGGCCTGGGCTCTATAGCTACTGTTCACCTAGCTTTGAGCTTCTGTACAAGGCAGTGGAGATTATCACATGAGCTGTCCTTGGTAGGAGAATCTAGGGTGCAAAGTTGGGGACAGCAGACAGCAGCCCCAAATCTAGAGTGTCAATGAAGATTATTGGTGGCATCAACTTTCCAGGGGTTTAGGATCAGGAGAGAAAGGCCCAGAGTGAGAATCAAGGCGTGTCAGGCAAAAGGCTCCCAGCAAAGAGTCTGAAGCTCTTTCCAAAGGCTGACCAGAAGTCGCTACTAGTCATGTGGCCTGCAGCTGACTCACCTGCTGGGAATGCACCCAAATGAGATCTCTGCAAAGAGGGAAGGGAATATTGAAAAGAGGAGTGACTCGAGACTAATGACAGCTTGTCCCTCTGGATTTATAAAACGTGCTAAGTGATTTCCATCTGAATTCATGAAACTGGAAACTATTAGATTCTCAAGTAGCTAACAATAAGAAACAATATGAAAATGAATTCATATGTTCTGTTCTATACAGTGATCATGAATTCTAGCTACCCTATCCGAATGTTGAAGAGAAATAATGAGTTTAATTTAATAGGCATTGCTTTCCACATTGCTGCATTCAACTTCACATTAAAATGATTCTTTATTTCTCAAGCATTCAGTAACTAAGTAGGAAGGGAACTGGCTAGGCACATGATAGGAAGAGCAAATAGCCTGTGGCCAGATCACAAGCACATGCAGGGGAGCTGACTGCATACCCAGTGTGATGTGAGAGAATTCTGAGCCTTGTTCTTCTAGGTCATTTCATAAGAAAATGCTCTCTACTTAACAATGGCTTGGGAACCTGTAGACTTAAAGAAATATATAGATAGAGAGCGATGTTTAAAGTTAACATTGAAAGTTAAAACAGAACAAAGTCAAGAGCAGTTTCACACTTAGGAAGATCTGCATATTCATAATCTTTTATTCTTTCATTCCTTTGACAATCACTCATCAAGGGCCAGGCACATGGAATGCTCTCAAGGAGCTCTACTCTAGTGGGAAAAGTCAGACAGTGTAGTGGGTGTTGCCATAAGTATAAGTTGCTAAGAGAACAACACACAAGGAAATGAGCATCTAACCCAGTATGGGTGTAGGATGGCGCAAGGAAAGGCTTAGAAAAGATTTCCCCCTAGGAACTTACTTGAAACCTAAAGGTTACATGATAAAGTTGGTGAACAAGAGGTTAACAGTCTTCCAGGATCTTACCAAATAAAGTACGGAGTATTCAAGAATGATAATGATGATGATAATTACAATTACTATTTAGTACATACTCACTATATGCTGAGCACATCACTAATTACTGTATATTAAGAATCTTATCTAATCCTCATAATAATTCCATGAAGTAGGTATACATTACTATCCCTCTCTTATAGATGAGGAACTGATGTGCAGAGACATGGTCACTTGCCTGAGTTTACACAGCAGTAGATAGCATAGCTTGTGCTCTTGATCTCTTATTAGAAGAACAGGGAAAAGTTCAGGATGACTAAAGAGAAGAGGATGGATTTAAGGGCTCTTTTGGAAGAACCTATAACTGGATGGGAATGGAGAGGAGGGTTGACTGGGGGTAGCAAAGATAGGGTGTGTGCAGAGCCAGTCACGGAGGGACCAGCAAAACTGGGGTGGGACTGAATCACCTCAGAAAGAAGGCCCAGAACAAGTTTCATAAAAGTGGCCATTATGCTGGTGAATCACACTGCAGTGTTAACTATGATCTCTAACAGCACATCTGTACTTGAGGAAGCAGTCAAGGTAAATTATTTAAAGATCTTATATGACATTAAACTTGTACAGTAAGCAAGCCCTCCTGTTGGTAATATTCTGGAGCAAATTATCCCCCAATAAACTCATATGAACCTGGGAATGTGGGACTGAGTAACAGAGAGTAAGAAGATTCTCTTCCTCAGGTCCACTGGACTGGGCTTAGTAGAAGGAGCTGGGGGGAGGAGGGGTCTCAGAAACACTGCTGTGCCCAAGAGATAAATATGTCTATTGGAAAGGATAGGAGTCACTTTCAAATATTATTTGCTATGTGGGGAAAACTGAATCTAATATACCTACCTGGCCAACAACATATTTTGATGAATCAGCCCCTTTTATTACTAAGAGCTGAGCACAATGACAAACACTTTTGACTTGGTAGCTCTGAGAAAACAGTGAACCACATTTTAATGAACCACCTCAGAAAAAAGGCACAGGATGTCAGGCTGGGAGTAGATGCCTAGCTCCGTGAGGGTTTGGCCCAGAGATCCCTAGGGTAGGCACAAGTTGTGCTCAGTTCTACTTTATAAGCATGAATGCAGATTCCTTTTAGCCCAACCCAAACACCAAGTTCTCAAGAAATCACAATTTACCAAGGGGACCTGTCCATTTCACAAGATTCGTAGGTAGGGAATAGATAAATTATAGTGAAGTCAAGGAAACTCGATGAACACTTAAAGGCACCTCCTGTGCACCGAGCATTGTTCTGACTCAAACACAGACCCTCCCATGTGATCACAGACATATGAAAAAAATGCCTTCTTGATCCATGCTATTATAGGGAAAGACAGAGACAGAGACAGAGAGACAGAAATATCCAATCCACTTTAACCAGAGACTGTGGGAGAGGGGAAGACATCAGCAAAACTTTCACAGAGGAGAAGGGTTTGAGCTGAGTCTTAAAGGTGCATGAGGAGAAACTTTCAAGTAGTTGAAGAAGATATTTAGGGAACTAATTGCCAAGTCTAAAGTTCAGAAGATGATGACAAACACTGAAAACACTGTGCAATCCCCCCACCCTCACTCCTACCCCCCTGCCCCAGATTAAACAAAGGCCCTCCCACCCATCTCGTACTCTAGCCAGCAGCCTGTGGAGGAAGGACAGTGTCCTTGGTTGTGGTCCAGCCTACAGCTGAAATTGGCTTCACACAATACATACCTTATACCCCATACACCACTTAGCTCCAGGAAAAGACTTCTATTGAAAGGGAGGGCTTCAAAAGACCAAAAATCATATGTTCTCCCTCATATGCGGACATTAGATCAAGGGCAAACACAACAAGGGGATTGGACTTTGATCACATGATAAAAGCGAGAGCACACAAGGGAGATATGAGGATAGGTAACACACCTAAAAACCTAGCTAGCATTTGTTGCCCTTAATGCAGAGAAATTAAAGCAGATACCTTAAAAGCAACTGAGGCCAATAGGAAAAGGGGACCAGGTACTAGAGAAAAGGTTAGATCAAAAAGAATTAACCTAGAAGGTAACACACACGCACAGGAAATCGATGTGAGTCAACTCCCTGTATAGCTATCCTTATCTCAACTAGCAAAAACCCTTGGTCCTTCCTATTATTGCTTATACTCGCTCTTCAACAAAATTAGAGATAAGGGCAAAATAGTTTTTGCCAGGTATGAGGGGGTGGGAGGAGAGGGAGGGGACGGAGTGGGTCGTAAGGGAGGGGGTGGGGGCAGGGAGGAGAAATGACCCAAGCATTGTATGCACATATGAATAATAAAAAAAAAAAGAAAGGGAGGGCTTAAGGAGGCCTGGAAGGTGACATGAAATTAGAAGACCAAAGTGAGAGTCCCAGCACTAATAATATGATCATAGACAAGTCACTTAACATGAGTTTGAGTTTCTTGCCTATCAGGAAGTATAACACCCTGTATAGGTGGCACATGGTGCAGCCAAAAGCATGGATGAGTGTCTACCTGAATAGAGTTGAATTCAAGCTCTTTCACACACTGATTGTATGATCCTGGGCTTGTTATTTAATTTTTTATAGCTTGGTTTCCTCACCTGTCAAACTGAGGACAATACCTTATAGAGTCATCCATTAACGTTGAGATCTCAGAACAGAGCCCTACATGCAGTATTAGTTCTTCTTACATTGGGAAGACCAATGAGAGACTGTATATGAAGGCCCCATAGGACAGCTGAAATGGACAGAAGACCCATATGTAGAAGGCTGAGTAAAACTGGCTTCCTGGTTCTGTCAGCAAAATGTCCCAGTCTCAAGAGAGCAGTGATCCAAGCACAGTGAAAGTCTTGTTTGTGGTCATTTTTGTCAACAAAACTCTAAGGTGCATGAGCATGTTAGACACACATTGGACATACACCTGAGAAATTTGTTAGAACAACTTTATGTAAATTTAAGGTTCACATTTAGGGTTAATTTGACTCTAAAGTGTCAGTAATACATATCAAGTTCTCTATCTGTTTATCTATTTATTTTGATAGGACTAGGATTTGAACTCAGGGCTTCATGTTTGCAAAGCAGGTGCTGTACCTCATGAGCCACATCACCAGTCCATTTTGCTCTGGTTATTTTGAAAATGGATTCTCTCAAAGTATTTGTCCAGGCTCTCCTTGAACTTTGATCCTCCCAATCTCGGTCACCCATTATAGGTATGAGCCACCAGTGCCTGGCTTCAAGTTCTCTCTTTAAGATATGAATAATTGCCTGATAGTTTATCAGTTTATATTTTTTAATGGATCATGTTTAGAAGAAGCTCAAATTGCTTCTAACATTTACCAATAAATTTACTATATAACAATAATAGGTATAATTTGTTGAGTATCCTATTTCAGAAAGTTTACTTATATCTTCTTTAATTCTTATACCATCACCATCAAGTCTGTATTATTAATCCCATTTTACAGTTAAGGAAGCTGAAGTTCAAGGGGGTTAAATAATTTGTGTGTGTTGGAGCTGAGGTTTGAACCCAAGCTCACCTCAGGCAAGTTCTCTTCCTCTACACATCCTTCATACTTACTTAACATTAAGGAACCTCTACAGCTGTAGAGGAAAGAAATTAAAAGTCTGATGTCAATATTTCATTTCTAATATATAAATATATTTCATGAAGGAATTACTATCCTGCCCTTGGCTGTAGCTATGTTTTTCTTCTCTTGCTCCAATCATTTGGACAAATAGGAAACTGCACCTTAGACAAGGGTCACATGGAAGGGAGTGGATAATGAATTTGCAAAGGGAGTAATGTTATGAATAGTGGTATTTTTAGAGTGTTATCTTTCTTGTTCACAATGGGTTTTGGTTTCCAGCCTAATGAAATGTAAATTTTCAAGGTCTGAGGGAAAACTGAGAGATGGAACACTGAGGCCAAGAATGGGGAACAGACAGAAGGCGCACTCCCAAGCTCTGCCTGAGAGGTGAGGGGGGTGGCTGGCAGCTGTGATGTCTCAGTGTCCCGGCTGGAAAGCTCTGCTCACAGTTTTGCCTTATTTGAGGCCTCCTCCATGACAACATTACTCTCATTGGGATTTTGGACACCCCAGTGGACTGCAAGATCTGTAGGAAAACATGGCTGTCAGGACACTTCCTTCAAACTTGTGATCCCATTCATACCTCCAGTGAGGTCCCAGCATGCCCAGCCATCCTACTATGATTTTTCTAGAATGTTTTATTTCGCTTTGTTCCCATGTGTCCCTCTTACATTTTCTAGTCTCTCCTCAACCTTTCCCAGGCCCTCTACTTTTCACTCTCAGCAGACAACCTTGCCTTCCACTTAACAGAGAACTTTTCAGCCACCAATAGGACCTCTTCCTTCACCAATCTCCATCCCACTCTCTTTACCTTCTTCCTCCCTTTGTTATAATCAATGAAAGGTTTCTCTGCCTTTCTAAGGTCTTGGTTCCTTTGGTCATTGCCTTCTCTCATCCTCTATGCTGGATCATTTCTGCCTGCATTCAGATGGGGTTTCATCTCTGAAGCAGCACTCCAACACACTCCTCTATTCCCCTTCCAAGTCAAATGACTGCCTGTGGCTCCGCCTTGCTCACCTCTTTTTTCTTTATTAACCCATCAACCTGTCCTTGCCTCCCAATGTTACCTCAAGGCTCCTCATGACCTCTCCATTATCAAATTTAATAAGTCAGTTTGTCCCCTTCAGATTCACACTCTCAGAAAATAGTGACATACATTTGTCCCCTGGCTCCCAAAACTGTACACTCTCCTGGCTTCCTCCTGCCTCTTCAGCTCTGTGTGTTCCTCCTTCTCTACCTGAGCTAAGTAAATATCTGGAATCCTCCTCTCATCTTTCCTCTTGCTGACTCCCCCCGCCACAATCTTATCCATTCCCCTAGCTTTGAACAGCATTCGTATTCTGATGACACCAGGTGAATATCTCCAGTTGAGACCACTTCTCTGCCTCACTTGGCCATATCCAACTGTCCACTTGGTATCTCTTCTGGATACCTCAACACATACCACAAATTCATCCTGTCTAAAACTTAACTCTTGCCACACTGAGCACCTCAGGTCTCCTAGCACTATTGTGTCTCAATCTTCAGACATCCTGCCTGTCCTGCCTGAGATGGTCTTCTAGTGCTATGTATATGGCTGACCATCTTTCATCTTTCAGGCCCATGCTTTGATTCCAGCCTTTTCTGACCATCTACAATAAATACATTCTCTCCTTGTTATTTTCTGTTCATAAATGTTATAAATTGTAACTACTTGCATTTTCTTCTTTCCCTTTTTTTGGAAGGGGAGTGCTCATTCTCTTCTGCTAGGTTCCACCTTTGCAAAAACCATTTTCTTATTTTCTCCTTTGCAATTCCTCATTGTCATGAACCTATGACTTCATTGTAATTACACTGAGAAGACAGTTGAAAGATTGACTATAGGGTCATGAGGATCAAGGTAGACTACAGAATGATCTAGAATGTCTTGGTCTGCTCTTGTTTTTCTCATCTCAGTACTGTGTAGCTCCTCATATCTGTCCACTCACCACAGCACTTGGAATAAGCATAAAGGTGGATTGGGAGCACAAGGAAAAGAGGAGGTGATGCAGTGTTTGTTGGTCTGGGGAGGGTTCATGGAGTGGGGCCTTTTATAAAATCTTATCTCAGGGTAGAAGGATTTTTAAAAATCTGAAATGTACTGAAAGAGTCCTAAACTTGGCTTCCTCACTTCTAACCAGGAATCAGGCCAAAGACATGGTTTTGTTTGCAGATGTTCATCCTCTCCCTGAAATGACGCCCTATACTTTCCTCTTCTCACTAGTGGAAAGACAAATGGGGAGGCAGACTGTGAAGCCTCAGCTCCCGTGCCACCGCCGAGCTGCCTGGAGGAGATAAGCCAAGAGACCAAGACCAGGGTGGAGGAAGAAGCCTACAACAAGGGGTGAGTCAGACCTCAGCCACCCTAAGGGCACCTGGCAGGTCTCAGAAGATAACTTCCCACGGCCTCTCCTGTTTCTTAGGGAAGCAACCAGTGGCCCCAGGGCCTCCTTGCCTCAGGGAGGAACTACATAGGAAGGAGTGAGATTGTTCCACAGGAAGGACAGAAGGAAGCAGGGTCAGTGGGTGTGGTAGGTCGATAATTAGACTACTCTCTTTTTGGGCTCAAAGCCACAAGACTGCTACTGCCCAGAATGGTCTGGAAATCAGGGGCCCAGGGTAGGTTCCTCTTGGTGGTGCCTGAGGCTTCCTGACACATGTGCCAGCGATGTCCAGGAGCAGCTGCAACTCCGCTTCCTAGAACTGCCCTGGTCGTCCTTTCCTCCTGTGAACTGGAGTCCCTCTACCTCACCCATCCCCCTCTCTAAATGAGCTTCAGTAGCGCTAGGGACAGCTGTCAGCCACTGGAAGACAGCATGGAGCAGGGCACAAGCCTAGACCTCCAGGAAGAAAATCACCTCCAACCTGGCATGACACCCCTGTGATCCCTGAGGAAGAGGCAGCTTCCCATGGGCACAAAATCCAGGGCCTTCTATGTGTCAGTCACACACAGTGGTAAAGTCGTCCAAGCCAGACTGCTGGAGTTAAAAACCCAGTTGTAGGACAAGTAAACAGAGTATGTTCAGGGCAGCACTAGTCCCTGAAGAAGGAAATCAGAAGGTTCTCTCTAGGAAAGTCTGTCTTTTCACCCACAACTGTAGTCCGCCCTCAGAAAGCTTGGGATTTGTGACCATTTACTGAATGCCATTCTAGGTCAGGCCCTGACATGTCTGAAAAACATTCTAATGCCCTGTGCACTGGGGTCACCTTCTCTGTTTTACAGCTGCAAAGCTGAAGCCACAGATTACACAGAGAGCAGATGCAATCTTATCTCTGTAGAATGTTTTGTAGGACAAGAACCCAGGCAGGAGACCCTGTCTCACATTTTTTCCCTGTCAGTTTGTCTCACTGTCACATAAACAGGAAGGATGACTGAGGATTGAGGGAAATTGTACTGACATGAGCCATGCTGGGGTCCAGTAGAGCTTCCCAGCTTTTTCCTGTTGTGTGGAACCACAGGAAGTGCGTTATTATTGAAGGTGCTTGAGTCCCCTCCTCCAGGAACTCAGGAAAGGATGCTCCATGTCTGGCCATTTCAGACTCAATTGCTTTTATTATTATTTTTTTTAATCTCCAGATACCAGGAAGGTCTCAAGAAGAACAAAGAACTTCAAGACCTGAAGGAGGATGAAGAAGAACAGAAGAGTGAGAGTCCTGAGGAACCTGAGGAAGTAGAAGAAACTGAGGACGAGGAAAAGGACCAGAGAAGCAGGTGGGAAGCCTGCATTTGGAGACCATGCCATTGCTGAAATGAGTTACAATTCATTTAATTAACGAATTGCCCAAAAATCTCTGGAAATGCCAGTTTGGGATAGCCGTGGGTCTGGATCCCAAGTGAGTGGCTAACAGAAACCAGCAGGGCACTTACTTGAGAAGGAAGTAGAAGAAATCAAGAGTCAAAATAGTTAACAACTGGGACATTTGCAAGAGCTGAGGGGTCAAGATGGTCATGGGCAGAGCAGACAGTCATCAAGAGCTCTTAGGAGCCAAAAAAGGACGAAGGACAATTAGTTGACTCCCTTCTAGCCATGCTGTGGTCAGCTCATTTCCCAGCCATTCCCACAAAAGAGCCATGACAAAGGGAGCTGACTGAGACACTAAAGGGGGTTTCTTACAAGCACAAGAATAGGGAACACACTGGGACAAACTTAGCTCAGTGGCAAAGGAGAGACTCCAACAGGCCCCTTCCATCTTGTGTGGTCATCTACACAGCTTCTTCACTTTGAACTGGAAATACTTGGGTTTTTCTTAAAGATACTTCATGTTGCAAGTGTATTTGTCTGTAAAGCATTGGGGGAAACATAACATGAAGATAAAGAGCTGATATGTGCTGCATCTTGTCCCATTTATAGTGCTACCCAGTCTTGAGAAGGCAGAATAGGAGAAATCACCTCATCTTGTTCAAGGGCATTCTGTGTGATGAGGTCTCAGCCCTGCTAGGCCGAGATTATCCCATAGAAGTATGCCCTTAGGGACAGAATAAACTGGTACCCATAGAAGTCCTTCTGCCTTATAGATCTAGTGACCACACCAACATCTTGGATTTTCAGGATGGTCCCAATTGCATATATTCTGCCCTACAATTTCTATTAGGACATTTACACCACAAGTCATGAATTTTTCTTTTTAAAAATACAGTCACAGAAAACTTGGAACAATGCACAGAAATCTTTAATTTTAGATGTTTGGGCTATCTACAGACAAAATAATTACCTGGTCAGCTGCTGAACTTGGGACAGAGCACATGTCTATGCCTCCTTGCTGGCAAACCCTGGAACTCACTCACTCACTCACAAAGAATTAGGTAGTAAGTGAAGATTAGAAGCCAGATGGCTATGCCTCAAAGCATATAGGAGCCATCACCGGAGCCGACTGGTGGACAATTCAACTAGAAGGAGCTGTCCCAGCCTACCTGGGTCCAACCCCATTGTTCAAGGGAAGAGCTCTCCAGGAGAAATGGGGAAAATGCTACCCCAGCCTGTGCCGGCACTTCCTCCCCTAATAAAAGAAGCTCAAGTTTAACAATGAAAGCACAGCCCCTTCTCCAAGCAACTGAGTCCTGTTCTCTCTCCACCCCACCTCCCTCTGGGTGTCCTCTGCTTTTATTTTTCAAGCCACCATACTGCCTTCTTCTCCTCTAAAATTGTTAAGCCCAAGCCTGAACAAAAGGTGCCTTCCTTTGGCACCCTGAAAATAGCTAAAACAGGCTAGAGCTTCCAAACACTGAGAAAGAACAAAAGAGAAATAAACAGAGAGCGTACATAGAATATAAACAGTCTGGTTTACAAAGCAGAGGCCTTATCTAGCTAACTTATCTCAGCAATTGGCAGCAATCACCCCTTTCATGAAACCCCAGTGAAAGCTTTATGGCTTTGTCTGGGTCTCTTTCTGAGAATGTCCTCTTGGTCCTGCTAATCCTGAGCGGCCTTGTCTGGTCTTCCAACCTTTACTCCTTCTCAGTTTTACATTTTGGTTTTGAGAGCATATGTGTTCCTTAGGTGGCAGTTAGCAGGCCTAAGCATGGTGCTCACAAGTGTCCTCATCCTTCAGTACAGGGATGTAGCTTCACCCTTTCAAGCCCAGCAGTGTGGCAACATCTTCTCTATAAGGGATGACATTGCTATCATATAAATTGGCCACACATGGTCACAAGGTCCCTTCCTCACCTGTAACCCAAGACAGACAGCCCTGAGTGCTGTCATCTTCAATGCCAGACAATCTCATCCTGAGTCTCTTACACCCAGAGTTGCCTGCAGGCTCCTGCACTCTAACATGACTTCCCCATGAAATGTTGGTACCTCACTAACAAGCAATGTCTGAAGTTATTACAAGTTCTGTGTCCTACTTTTATAATACTGAGCTAAGCCCAGCAGCTGGCCCCGTATTTTAAGAGCTTCAACCTCAAACTCAAAAGTCTGAGTTTCTTCACTGTTATATGTAAGAATGCAATCCATTATAAATATTGCTTTCTGGAGGATTAGTTTAAAGGAACTTTAGGTGAATCAACTCAGTATCTTAACAATAGTAAAACAGAGAACACAGTCTTCTGACATTTATAATACACTGAACAACTGAGACCCATAACGTGTGACATAAAATTAGATTTTCTCCTAGCACCTGTTCAAACCTGCTCCACAGGGTTAGAATGATGCTGTGGCAGATGACTTTACTTACGGCTGATGTCTTCCAACAACAGTCAGAAAACAGAAGTTGTGCTGTATGTCACCATTGTCAAGTGCTGATGGCTTGGTAGCTGGACAAAAAACAGAAGAATGTAAATTCTGTATCTAACCTAAAATAGGCTGGAATGGGTGACCAGCCAAGAATCACAAAGCTGACCTTGGCCTCCTGCTTTGTGGCGTCTCTTAAGTGTGGATTTAGAGGGGAATTCTCCCCAACTCCAGCAGCCTGTTTGGGAGCATGGAAATACAGCTGCAAAGAAAAACTCCATTTTGGCTTCCAACTATGTTTAAGTAGAATCTAATTAATCTAAATAGAGCTGAAAGGAAATAAGCTTGCATTTCTGATGCCTCCCTTCCCAGCAATTGTGAAAATAGTCAATGATTTTCACATCAGCTAATGTGCTCACTTTCTTGCTTTGTTTAATTGTACCTGAAATGACCTGATGGGGTTCCCACATGGACGAGAAACCAATCACTGTTCTCTTGACTTAGCCTTAGAATCTGAGGCAAGCAGTCTGGCCATCTGGCCAATTTCTAAAGGAGGTGTTTTTTGAGTTTTCAATCCATGGCAAGTCATCCATTTTTTACTAACTCTGCGTTAGAGCTTCCAACTGGCCAGAGTGCTGCCATATCTCTGTGAGCCTTGGGGTCTTCAGGAATCCTTCAGTCACCTCCCCCACCTATTTGGTTTGGTAATCCTCTGTAGTCTCATATCTCAATTTATTAAAAGAAAAAAAAAACTATGATTAAAAACAGGATCTAAAACAATGATCAGAAGAAACACCCAAGAGTCACTCAGCAAGACAAAAGTTTTACTTCTGTAACCAATAAAAAATAAATAAAAACAGGATCTAGCTTGATGAATGTGTTCAGGCCTTCTCTAGAGAGCACTGGTATGGGGCTCTGACCAAACATCTTCTCACTAGTCACTATTTTGAAAGGCAGTTGGGAAAGAAACAAGAGGGAAAAGCAACAAAAATGGAGGGGAGCTGGGCATGGTGGTGCATGCCACTGTGTAATCCCAGCACTGATGCAGAGTCCTAGGCCATCCTGGACCACGTAGCAAGTAACAAGTAACAAAACAAAACAAAAGAGGAGGGGGAGAGAGGTACAAAGGAGAGCGAGATGAAGGGGAAGGAAGGAAGAGAGAGCAGAGATTAGGGAGAGAGTGAAGGAAGAGGAGGAGGAGGGAGAAATTGGAGAAAGAATATGAAGTTTAGAAAACATCTAAATGAGCCACTCAGGTTGTTTAGAGGCTACCCATATTCTGGTTGCCTTTGGAGTGGTTCAAAGTGAACTCTTGAGGTTCATCTTGTCATTTATCACTGGAAATCAAGTTACTGCTGAGAGTTCAGCACAGTTCTTCCACTCTGGACTCAGAGGTGGGACTGAGAACAATGAATTATGCATCTCATTACCGAGGAAGGGATTAGTTTAAGACTTGGAACTAATCACTAATACAGCTGAGTGCAGAGAAGATGCTGGTCCTGTCTGGATCCATGGGAGCGTACATTGGCTAACCTTCTACACTGAGGCAGCTATCAGTAGCTGCGAGCATGTGTGAGTAGGTAAATGATAAAGAAGCAATAGAGTGTTCCAGATCAGTAGCACCCACCATCAAAGTTATGGACCACAAAATCACCTAAGGAAGTTTGACTACAGATTCCTACACCATAACTTCAAAGATTCTCATTCAGGAGGCCTGGGGTATTTTGAATAATCGCTGCCAGGTGATGCTAAAAGCTGCTCTTGGCAGCATAGAAGGTATTCCCAGACAGAGACGTCATATATGTGCCCACTATTAAATCTCTGCCTGTTTTTTTATTGACAGCAAACTTGAAGAATTGGTCCATTTCTTACAAGTCATGTATCCCAAACTGTGTCAGCACTGGCAAGTGATCTGGATGATGGCTGCTGTGATGCTGGTCTTGACTATCGTGCTGGGGCTCTACAAATCCTATAACTCTTGTGTGGAGCAGGCTGATGGGCCCCTAGGAAGATCCACCTGCTCGGCAGCCCAGAGGGACTCCTGGTGGAGCTCAGGACTCCAGCAAGAGCAACCTACAGAACAGTAGGAAACCTAATTCAGCCCACGACCCTGCCCCTGAGTATAGTGTGTCAGGCCCAGGTGTGGACATGCTGCCACCCATCTCATCATGGAATGAGGAGGGCTTCCTTCACACTCAGTGCCTGGTTTGGAGTAGCCATAGTGAAGAGCTATTCAAACACAGTAACTTAATGTTCTTGAAAGATCAACAAAACTGCCCTGGGAAAACAGGCAGTGGATGAAGTGACCTTCACCAAGGAACTCTAGCTGAAGGAAAAGTCTCCTACCCTAGCTCAGATGGTTCAGGAGAACTGAAACACCTTCACTAAGGGACAGTTAGAAGCTCACTGTCCTCTTTTTTTCTCTCTGGAGTCAGTTATCAGGAAGAATTGTGCTTGAAAACCAATACTGACTGTAAGGATCAGACCTGGAATTTGGAGTGACAACATGAATATCTCCCCATTTTCCATGACTATCTTTCAGCTTCCCCTTCTCCCTTTTGAACTCACAGCCTCTTTTCACAGAGTAGGAAAGGTTTCTCAGAAAAATGCATATGCTGAATTTAGCTCAGTGCTTGAAATGAAATGGAAAGATGTGAATTAATATGTATGCATCAGTACACGTTCCACACACACAACACGCATGTGCACAAAGCCAACAACCCTCTGAAAATGTGCTCTGGGTGTGTGCTCTGGATCAATAAGACCCATGTCAAGCCAATCCACAGATTTTCACTGGGTGTGGGACAGTCACTGGGCACCTATTCAGTGAGCTGTCCACATGAACTGAAGATGTTTTGAAAAACACTGAAAACTCATGCCTTCAAATGGCAAATTCAGAAGCCAGTTCTAAACTACTGTACAGCACAGTCTGTTTCCTGTTTGTTTTCTCCCTTCAACTGTAATTGTAGACAGTGTACCCGCCTCTCCAGAGAGCAAGGAGAACATGCCTTCTGCTTCCATCTCTCACTCTGTGTGTATCCACATGCAAGGGGCAGGTACACCCCAGGGCTTCAGTGCACAAGGGACTTGCAAGCCAAGTGTATGCTCCAGAGAAGCCCCCATTATGTAGCATAAAACCAAGGAGCACATCCCATCTCCCATTTGACATCTCTCCCCACCTTTTCAGCCACTGCCTTTATTCACCCCTCATCCATTTTGCCAGGGCATTGGTTTCTCTGTGAGCTCTGCTGTGGTTGCTTTTGTTTTGGTTTTGTTACTGTTTGCTTTTGTTGCTAACACTCATATAGAACTTATTATGAGCCACACACACTGTTTTGGTACTGTATAGATATTCACTCACTTAGTCCTCGACAAAAAGAAAACTCTGAAATGGATAGTGCTCTTCCTATTTTCAGACAAGAAAACTGAAGCATAAAAAGACAAACTTGTCAAGCACCTGCAGCTAGGAATCATGGAGCAGCACTGAAACCCCAATGGCCTGGCTCTAGAGGCTATGCTCCTGAGCCCTACACCATGTTGCCTCCTCCAAAACTGCATGCCTTCCATTCCAGTCCTACTCCCCCAATCATCCTTAGTTACTCAGATCATCTCTGATTCCCAAACTAAACTGTTTCTCTCATTGCTCTGTATCTCCACTCACTAGTTTTTCTCCAGCCATTCTCTTTTCTTCTGGCCACTTCCCTCCTCTGTGCTTTCTGGCACCTGTTAAGTATCTTTATTTTTGACCTGCACCTACAGTCTATCATCATAACTTATTTATGCATCTATCTCCTCTTTTTCCTCAAAGACAAGCACCATGTCTTACCCCTGTCATGGGTAGGTACCTAACAGGGTGGCTGACACTTCGGAGAGTGTCATTAATTGCTGGACAAAAGAACAAGTGAACATTCAAGGTGGTGGAGAGCCTTGGATAGGTGACATTTTTCAGTTTTCTAATAACAGCACCATCACCACTCCATCTCCATGAGAAAAGTCACATCTTTCTTGTGACCTCAGCTTGTTGCAATATTTCTCATTCTACTCTGAGTAGCTGAAACTAGACTAGCAACAACACCATTTCCAAGCTCAAGGGCTCACAGTCAGAGAGACACTCCCACGCACATCCCCAGACTAGGCTCCACTTTAAAACAGCATATTTATTGAAAAGGGCATCCTTCGCAGTGGCTGGGAAATGACTGAGAGAGAAACCCAAGCCAGGGTTGACCAAGGATGTGTCATTAAGGTAAAGAGGTGCTGAGCACGGCAGAGGTACTTTGGGGCACAGGTGGATGGTTACCTGGCCTCTTCCAGAGGGGCCAGATACAATTGAAGGATCATAAGGTGTATGAGCCTCTCAGAGCCAGAGACAAGCTGTGAATGGAGATCTAGAGAAAGAGCAGCTGTGGGGCAGGACTCTGGGTGACCAATGTCCAATCTCAGCCTCCATAAAAGGAGGACCAGGCTGAGTTGATCCATTGTCCACTTGACCACAAGTTCCTGCCCCTGTTTCCAGGTGAGACAAAGGCAAGGAAGGCAGGTGCAAAGAGCTCCTACACCCCCAGCAGCCCCATAGAGAGGCCTGCAAGTGTATTTTAAGCACAGGCTCTCATCTATACTCCATTGTAAGTAAAAAACATCAAAGAAAAGGACGTCTCCAACAGGGAGCATAAGAGTAGCCATATTTACAAGGATATGGCTGAAAAAGTACTCATCAGTCCATCTTTTCCGGAAAGCAAAGATCGGCCTGAAGCAGTTGTGGCTGTGCCAAAGCAGTCATGGCATGGAAACGCCCTGTACTTCCAACATGACTTTGATCTAAATAAAAGTTCCCTCAAAATGCCTCTGAAACATGACATTTCTGCTTAGCCCTGGGAGTCTGGTCACCTACCTCCAGTTGCAGAGTGATATGTTGCTTGTATAATTGTTGACATCACCTCATAGTAGAGCCTTCACTTTCTGGTTGCTACAAAACCATACGTGTTGATCCCCTCACATAGCCTGGCAAGGGGAATGGAGAGGGAGATGCTGGATATGGGTATCACTGGCTGTCAGCCCCTAACACTGTTAAGCCTCACACAGGTGTGCTAACATTGAACTGTAGAGTGTCACATATCTGAGTTTAAAATAAAAGCATATTTCCAAACCCTTTGGCAGTAGCCAAATGCCTCCTCATTTTATGGAGCCAAGCCACAATCATACTCCAGCCCTGAATTAGCTTTCTTCAGATACTAGTGCCTCCAGAACCAAGCCAGAGATTCCTAGCCACTGGGTCATTGGACCCTGGGTCACCTCACAGGGACCTGATCAGTTCCTCTTCAGATCCTCGTCCTAATTTCCTGTACTTTCCTGGTCTATGACTTTTTTTTTTAATTAATACATTTTGCTATGGTCGAGGCTGCTGAGTTTTCACCAACCCTGTTTCCACGACTTGCCTGCAGTTTTTGGTCTTTCTTCAAGCAGGTACAGGGGAATGTGGACCTGTTGTGTCTCATTCCCTAAACACAAACTCTCATACACAATATTCTACATCCTCTTTATTCCCTTCTCTGCCTACCAAAATCTGAGGATTCTGGTGAGATCTCTCAAGCTTGAGAAGATGGTAGAACCACTGGGTGGAGCAGGGTCTTTGATGGGTACTCACAATGTTAAACTGTAACATGAGTAAGAAGTAAAAATTTAGTGGGTTAAGCTACTGAGAGTCAGGAATCTTTGTTATTGCAGCTAGCCTACCCTGACTAATGTATACACTTGAACCAAAAATGGGGTGCTTTAATTACAAAATATGAGGAAGTGGCTTAGCAGTCAAGTATCAGAAAACAAATATCAGGGGCTGGAAACATAGTGACCCATGTTGTAAACTAAACAAAAACATTTGGTAATGTCTTACCCATGATGACTCAAATAGCAGTAGGTAGATAGCCCATAGCTCTAGAAGTGTTTGGAGGCAATCAGGTGTCAAAGTATTTGATCATCTATTGGCTGATTTTGACAAGATATTTTAAGAAAAAGAAGCACTTGGGAAAGAATTGGCTATTTGGAATCAGAAATGAAAAAGAATATAGAGTATTCAGAACTTTGAGGGATTGAAGGATTAGAAAACCTGACTCTTTCTAAATCCCAAACAGACTAAAAAGAGCTTTGAAAGAAAAAAAGAACTGATAAAATTCTCAGTTAAATGGATCAACTCAGCCTTATGGCAAGAATAGATTCAGAGCATAGTCCTTCCATTTGCAGTCCAAATGAACTTGGTATATTGAGTCAGAGAGACAGAATGGCATGGGGTAAGGACAGGAAAGAAATACATCTGAGGAATAATGACTGAGAGAGAATTTGGAGTGTGATTGTGGACACATGGAAGCAAATAGAGCGGATATCTATGTTTGTGAGGGAATCCTATTTGCAAAGCAACACAAGCCAGGACTAAAAACTCCTTCAACTGCTCAAGTAGAAAACAACTTTTGGGATCTTAAGCTTATACCAGTGGGAAACAAACTGCAAAAGCTATGTTCCCCACAAAAACAGCATGCTCCCTAATGTCTACTTCATATGTGGCCTCCCAGAAAATTCAAAGGCCACAGAGAACAGTGGATGTGGAAGTTTCTCCCAGAAAGCAGAACCAGGACCTAATCAATGTCTGTGATAGGCAGAATTTCTAAAATAGTCCCCTAAGGATCTCCCATCCCAACCCCTAGAGTTTTAAAATATGAACTGTAAGTTCTTTTATCATGTTACATTGCATGGTACAGTTGACCCTTAAGGAGATTATCCAGGTTAGCCCAATGGAATCACATCAGCCCTTTAAAAGCAGAGAGCTTGCTCTGGTTAAGAGTAGAAATGAAAGACAGAGGATGAGAACTATGAGGACTCAGTGTGTCATACAGCTATGAAATGGAGGGGCCTCTGAGAAACACAGACCTCGTTTCTACAACCCCAAAGAAATGAATTTTGCCATGTACCCGAATGAGTTTGAAAGTGGATTCTTCTCCAGAGCCTCTAGATACAAGCTTAGCCCAGCAGACATCTTGATTTCAGTCTGGTGAGAACCAAAGCAGAGGACCCAGCTGAACCCAAACAGACTTCTAACCCATGGGAACTGTGAGATATGAAATGGTTGTTGTGTTAAGTCACTAAATATGTGGTAATTTGTTGTACAGCAATAGAGAACTGATACAATGGCTATATTAGTCAGCTTTTCATTACTATAATGAAATACCTGACACAGGCTACTGATGAAGAAGTTTTGTTGGTTTTGCAGTGTTGGGATTAAACCCAGGGACCTGAGCATGCTAGGCAAAGTGCTCTACCACTGAGCTACATCCCTAGTCCTTGGTTTTCTGAGACAGTGTCTTGCTACATTACTCAGACTAGCCTCAAATTCATGATCTCCCTGCCTCAGCCTCCTCAGTGCTGGGATTACAAGCATGCAGCTGAGATACAAGCTGAAAAAGAGGCTTATTTACCTGATGGTGCCAGAGGTTCAAGGGCATGGTGCCTGCTTCAGTTCAGTTCTGGTGAGGACCTCATAGCAAAGAGCAGATGGCAATGACAAGAGTGGATGTCAGAGCAAGCAATCACACACCAAGCTAAGAAGCAGAGGGAAATGAGACAGGAGAGCCAGACTATTCCTTGTACAACAGCTCTCTCATGAGAACAACCAAAGGGATTAAACAAGAAACACCTCCTGTCTCCAGTGACCTAAGAACCTCTCACTAGGCTCTACCTCCCAACACAGTGCCATCCTGGAGATCAATTCTTCAATTACAATGGACAGACGTGCAAACCACACCTGGTCCATAGCAGAGACCTCTCCAGTGTCTCTCATTAGTGTTCCTGAGCTAGTGTGGCCCAGTGATTGCTGTGACTCCCATTCTTCCCCTTCAAATGTGGGGAATCATAGTGAGGTCATACAGGTCCTGTTCCACCATTGCATTTGGAGGTGGTGTATAACTTTTTTAGTTCATAGGTCACCAGACCACAGAGTACCATAGCTAGACCTGATGGAGAAAACTAAGCACATCTCACATTGTGAACTTTGAGCTGGCTAGGACCTTGGATTGCCTCCCTTGAGAATAGAGGCAACAATGAACCCAAAATTGGGTGATCAGAAGGGTAAGCTGTGGCAGAGACTGCTCTGTGTTCACCAAATCATTTTTCCTTTTACTATTGGGCACAATAGATAGCTTAAGACTCCTCTGGAGTTGGGTGGGAACATATGACAAAGTCCTGGTCAATGGACTATTGATAGAAGTGCTTATCCCAGGCCTGACCCTTAAAACAATCTCCAGGACCATTATCTGTACACTCTTTATTTGATTGCTGGTTCAATGTGAAGGTCCTGGAGAGAACTCAGAACTACTAATTGAGGGCTGGAGGTATGGCTCAAGTGGAAGACAGCTTGACTTGCAAGCATGAAGCCGTGAGTTTAAACCCCAATACCACCAAAAAATAAATAAATAAAAAGAGGTACCAGGTGATCACAGAGCCACACAGACTCTGAAGGAGCCACCAGATCTGAATAATATGTGTGGTAAAATCTCCCCCATACATACACGCCTACCATTATCACCATACCTGCCACCACCTGTCAGTCACTGGGTTGTACTACGTAACTTTTAAATTAATTAAACCATGGAGATGGTTTTGTTATAGTAAACTACACTCACTTATATAAAGTAATCCTTGTAATAGCAAGTACCATAAAATTATACTGTTATGTTATTTTTATGTTCATATAATATAGTTTCCTTCTTTGACAGGTGATAAAACTGAAGCCCAGGGAAGTTAAGTGACTTTCTCAAGGTCACACAGATTATTAGTGTTAGAATTTAAACTAAAATTTGGATATTACCCTATATCTAGGACTCTGGATATTTCCTTCCTTTTTGCCACATTTCAAATGTGTACTTTATTTAAATTTGCAAATGAATGTTTCAGATTAAATAAGCAATTAAAAATCTTACCCAAGTCTATGATCTCTGAGTTAAGCTCAGTCTTCCTTATTAGACCCAGCTATGTCACCTTGCTGTCTGCTGACCTATGAACTTCTACTGGTGTCTTCCATATCCAGGGAATAAGAAAACTGACCTGGGTATTTCATATTTGCTGCTTTCCTTTGATATATGATGGTTCATTTTCATTTAATTTTACAGATTTTAATTGTCTTACTTTCTTCTTTAGTTATTCTTCTTGATGACAGCACATGTTATTATTTAGAAGTAGATAGTGCTGCTGGGGTTTTTTCCCATATCCTGTCTTTCTCAAAATGGCAAAAAGAGATCTCTGGCAGCATTTGTTTTATGGTTCTCCACTTCAATTCTTTATTTTGGCTTTTCTTGGTGGGTGGCAGAGAGGAGGTACTGGATTTTGAACTCAGGGCCTCTGGCTTGCTAGGCAGGCTCTCTACCTCTTGAAGCACTCCACCAGCCCACCTCTTAGTTCTTGACAACAAGCTCTTCTGAAATTCATCATGGGTGAGGGCCCAGAAACTGAAACTAAACACGTTCCCACGTAACAAGACAGGTAGCCAGTTCTAATCAAGAATTTCCAAATAGAGGGCCAGAATTTGATTAACTTCTCTCAATGGGAATATCAAAAAGACATGATTGTTTTTTTCTCTTCCAGGAGGACCAACCCAAATCATGCAGACTCTCTTTATCCAGTGATTCCCCTTCTGGTCATTTGTTTCCAAAATCAGGTGTCTTCTCATTTCTCATAAGCTATTTCTCCAATGTTTTGCCTTCCATGATTCATTTCTCCCTTTCTGTCATCCTTCCTTCTTTCTTTTATTAAAAAATAATTTAACAAATTCTTGAAAACTGGGCATGGCTCTAGGCATTAAGGACAATTATGAAGAGGACCTGGCTCTTGCATCTCTAACTGTTACCCTGATGGCAGTCACCTATGTTTTTGAGGTACTGGGAGCCCAGGGCTTTGTCTCATACAAGTCATATGAGTCTGTATTAGAGATACTTAGGGGCTGTTTCCTTGGTATCTTAGAAGTTTTCTGTCCTGGGCTGGTGGAGTGGCTCAAGTGGTAGAATGCTTATCTAGCAAGCGTGAAGTTCTGAGTTCAAACCTCAGTACCACCAAAAATAAAAAATAATAAAAAAAAGAAATTCCCTGTCCTTAAGAAGAACAGATTCCCTTGTCGCTATTGGTATTTTCTACACAGATTAACTTTATGACCAATTCTACTTATATAAAAAAGAACTAGTCATTCACACACTATTCCTATAAAAGATATTCATTTTGGAGAAAACTCATAAACCTTTTTTTTCTTTAACTCAGGGTGTCATGTTTGCTAGGCAGGCACTGTACCGCTTGAGCCACACCCTAGTCCAAAAAACCACATAAATCCTTGCGGAAGGCCTTGCTCGAAAACCAGAATTCCTTAATTTCGGTGGAGGGCAAACCACTGAAAATCCAGCTGGGAAAAGATCAAGTGCATTCTGTTCCTCCACGGTACAGATATCCCTCATATTCCTCAAACAAGAAAGGTGAAGTCTAAACTGAATTTTGGTCTACCATAATATAACAGAAGTTATTAAAGAGGAAGTTATAGATAAAGAACTCCCATGGTGATTATTATTGTAAAGTCAAAAATCCTTTTGTATTCACAATGAAACCCCTTGTACTACTAATGAAGCTAATTTTTTTGTAATTTTTCTTTTTTTCCGGTGCTAGGGACCAAACACAGGGCTGCTGTCCTGTGCAAGTGTTCTACCACTAAGCCACACCCTAGCCTTCGTGAAGCTAATTTTTTGATAGCTTAAAAAATCGTTTTGTAAAGTGTCAAACAACTAGTTTTGTAAATTGGCCCCAAGTTGTGTTTTGCAAATATGAATTTTTGTATGTATGGGGTTTCTTTGAAAAAGGAATCCCCTGTAGTGGCATTGAGATTTCCAACGTATAAAAGAAGTCCCCAAGAAAAGCCTCATGTCATGAGTCTCACCATCACTTCTCTACATATTACGAGGCAATGCAACTGAGGAGGATAAAGAATCACTGATGGGGGAGGGAAAGTACACAGTCATGCTAAGTCTCCTTCAGAGACTGAGACATTGGAGAGCAGAAGGATGAATGACTCCTGGGCAGGAACAATGAATGGTGTGAGAACTGAGCCCAGAGGGAATGTCGAGGGGCAGGGGATTTGGAAGTAGAAAATCTTCGGCAGCTCACACTGTGCTATCTGTCTTCCTCATTTGTGTGTTTTCTGAGTCAGCATTAGCTAAATTTTCCAGAAAGCCATCCATAAAGTACAGCCCTGGCGTTCAAGGGACGTCACTCATTTCCCCCAGTGACCTTGACAAGTCAGAAGCCTGAAAGCAGGGAAATCCGGATGTCTGTTATGAGGTGGAGCAGTGGGAGGCTCCACATATTTCCAGAACTCTCCATCCAGCCTGGTAATTGAACATCTGTGTCCCTTGCTGCCAGTGGCCATCTGCAGTTCTTCCCTGGTTCTAAGGGTTTGTACAATGGCCAAGTGCATCAGCCTGGTGTTCCTTTTCGCCTCCATCTGGACCACTGGGCTCCTGGTTCAGGGCTCTGTCCGAATACAAGGTAGGTTTCTTTCCATATTTCCAAACTGAGGCGAGACTAAGTCTTAAAAACTGTCCTAAGCTCTTGCCCACAGATTGTCGGGAATGGGGGCTACCCTCAAAGTCACTGAAGACCTAATTGGTAGTATGGATTAACCAGGTTTGTTTATACCATATTGCCAACACCATCAAAATAATTATTTACTTTTACATTACTTTGACTTTTATTTTTGGTTACAGAATATTATCAATAATAATATTTAGAAATAAATGAGAAGTGATTTGTTTTTAACTGTTTCAGTCAAGAAACAAACCATAGTTGTGAAAAATTTTAAGCAACCACTAAACCTGTGGAAAAATGGAACTTTTACTAAATACTGGCCAATTTTATATTTTTCAAAGTGTCTGCATTTTAATTTCAAGTTTATATACTATAAATGGAATGCAATACCTTAACATGTAGCAAATTTAATATGCATTCGATGAAATGAAAAAAAATCTGAAAATACAGATTTGAAAATTTGCCATCAGTCCCTACCAAAGGAATAACATACAGTGATTTCTGGGGTTTGGGGATGCCTACATGGAAATCTCATTCTGCACTGTAGGCAAAAAAAAAAAAATTGCAGCTACAAATCACTTATTACAGCTCCAGGCAAATGAAAATCTGAGTGCTTAAATTAAGGGAAATTGTTTCCCTGCTGGAGGGTGCCCCTGAGACATAAAATGTGTCAGGAACAGATATTCAGAGTTGACTCATATACTGTTGTATTTTAATTTTATAAGGGTGGTTAGAGTTAGACTATTGGCTTTTTTTTTTTTTTCAAATGCCAGAACTGTCACTATTAAATAAGCTTGGTCCTCTTTGCCATTCCCACATTTTCCCACAACACTGCATTTATCCAAACCATTTTGGAAATTGTTCCTGATGATGACCCCATCACACTCTTTGCACCATTATCAATAATGGCAATGTCTTCCTAAGGAAATTAAATGTTTGGGAAGAGCAGAAAGTTGCTATAACCCCAAGTGTGGGATCAGCGGTGGTGGAGGTCAGTGGACAGCGATGGGAACTTTGATGAGGGCCTATTGTGTAGAGATACAGTTAGGTATACCATATGTAAGGTTTTGTTTAATCCTCTCAAAAAAAACATTTCAGAGATGAAAAAGTCAATGCATTCAAGTGCTTGTCCAATGTCACACATTGGGTAAATACTAAAACTTGGCATTGAATTCAGCTCAGATTCCCAAGCATATACTATTTTCTTTTGCTGTGTGGGGGATGTGTTTTTGGTGAGTTTTGTTTTTGCAGTTCTGGAGTTTGAACTCAGAACCTCACACTACCACTTGAGCCACACCTGCAGCCCTTTTTTTGCTTTAGTTATTTTTCAGAAAGGGTCTCACGTTTTTCCTTGGGCCAGTCTTGGACTATGATCCTTCTAGCAATGTCTCTTGAATAGCTAGAGCATAGACATGTAACACTATGCCTGATTTGTTTGTTGAGATGGGGGGTCTCACTAACTTTTTGCCTGGAACTGAGATCTGCTACCTATTAGTTATCTAATTTAATTCTGAATATAAATCTGGGAAGATATTTTACAGATGACAACAGTGACCTGCCCAAGGTCCTCACAGTCAATTACAATAGCAGAAATATCTAAAGTAGATCTATCCACCCAGAATAGATCTAGCATTACTGTAAATAATTTTTTAAGATGGGACCTATCATTACTGTAAATGATGTTTTGAGATAGGATCTTGCTATAACATCACTAATGTATTAGTAGGTATTAGTAGAAGTGCCTGACGTCATACGAAGTTGCTCTGCCTCACCATCTCTACACCACACTGCACTCTGCACAGCAATTTCTGAGTGAAACCCTCCAGAAATCCTGGACCTGAAAGTTGCAATGTGGCAGCTTTATACAGGTCTATAAATCCCAGAACCCACAGAGAAGGCCTCAAAAGAGCTCACAAGTTCATTCAATTTTGAGTAAAAATAGTATTCACATCCTAACCGTTCACCTGCCTCAGTTTCCCCACGAAGATCAATCAGTTGAGCCTGCTTTGAAGACAACATAGTGATAAGGTGTTGCCCACGGATACATATCAGTACCTACCATGTGGCAGGCACTGTGCTGCTCATTTTTATTAGAACTCTTGCACTTAACTCTTCTGCAGTAGATAGTGCTCCCCTATATTGCAAATGAAGAATCTGAGGCCCAAGGAGATAAAGTAAGTTGTCTGTGGTTGCAGAGCTCACTAATAACATAGGCTAGACCCAAAGGTCTGACTCTAAAATTCTACTTCCTTTATTTCATTTCTCTGCCATGCAAGATTTCTTGCCCAGCTCCTCCAGAAACCTCTGAGTAAGCCTGCCCCCCACTGGTCAGAGAAGACCTGGAACCGAGGGCCCGCACTCTGTTCTAACAAGTAAAACATTTCCAGCTCCTTTCAGAAACAGAGAGGTCCCAGCCTTGTTAGTATAGGAATTGCTAGTATCACAATATTACGCAATCAACTATTCTATCTTTCTCAAAGTCTCAGGTGCTTCCTTTTACAGACTCCCCAAAGGTTTGCAGTGAAAGTACCACCGAGACCCCATCCCAGAACCTTAGTAGCCAAAGCCCCATGTGATGAAAAAGGTACCTTAATGGGGAAGGATAGGATGGACTCTGATCTGGTGAGATTTGCAGCTTGGACAGAGGAAGCACTCATCTAATCTATTTCCTTGTGGGAAACTCCTGGCCTGTGTCCTGTTATTTCTAAATTCAGTCCCAGCCACACAGCCCTCATTACCATGCCAAGACAGTAACACTCTGCAAGGAAGGAGATCCTGAGGTCTGGGGTCGAAGACGGCAGTAAACTGAGGACCTGTGTGATTTCTTTGCAGAACTTTCCATCTCGTTGCCATGCAGAATTATGGGAGTGACCCTTGTGAACAAAAAGGTAGACCCGCAGCTGAATTTCACAGAAGCCAGGGAGGCCTGTAAGCTGCTGGGTCTAACTTTAGCCAGTAAAGACCAGGTTGAAGCAGCACAGAAGTTTGGCTTTGAGACTTGCAGGTGAGAAACAGCTGGATTGACTCCTGCTGCCTGAGCTCCTTGGGCAGTATTTTTTCATTGGTTTTGTTTGTTTGTTAGATTTTTGGTTCATTTGTTTCTTTTGAGACAGGTTCTCACTACGTAGTCCACACTGGCCTTAAATTTGTAGTTCTTCTGCCTCAGCCTCCCAAGGGCTGGGATTACAACTGTGTGGCACCATGCTTAACTTGGTTCTGTGTCCTAGTTCAGCAAAAGACATGTTGCCTTCTAATCATTTGCCCATTCAACTAACTAGTATTCTTTTACAGTTATGGATGGGTTGGAGAACGGTACTCCGTCATCCCTCGGATTCTCCCAAATCCCAGATGTGGGAAGAATGGAATAGGCGTCCTGATTTGGAAAGCTCCTGTTAGCCAAAAGTTCAGGGCCTATTGTTACAACTCATCTGGTGAGTCAAGCCTGCAGCCTCCCCTCATGGCATGAATTCTCTTGGTATCTCTACCTCTATCACCTGTCTGGGACAAGCAACCCTGAGCAGAAGCAACCACAGCAATGGTCATCTAATTCTTCCAGGAAAGTTTCTCTGCCCAGGGTAGACAGGATGGTGGCTTCTCAGAGGGCAACCTGAGAAGAGGGCATCCAGGCGGCTCACTTCCCACCTCCGCTGCCCCTACTTTCTATAAGATAACCAGGAAGAAGGGATGGAAACAGATGTGCACGTGCATGGGGTACCTCCAATGTGGACGAAGCACTATACAGTTAGCTATGTCACTTAACCTTGATGCCTTCCCTGGAAGGAGTACTTTTGCATTCCTGATTTGCAGATGAAGAAACTTAGCTCAGAGGACATAAACACATTTTTCTAAAGTCTCTGTATTTGTCCATCTCCCATTGCAATAGTGAAATACCCAAAGGCTGAGTACTTTACATATAAAGGAGGATTATTTAGCTCACAGTTCTGCAGGTTCAAGGGCATGGCACCAGCATCAGCTCAGGTCTGGAAAGGACATCATGGTGGATGGCTCCATCATGGCGGAAATGAGAGGTCCCATGGTGACGATGAGATTGGGAGCTAGAGAATGACTCAAGGTTACAAACCCTCTCTCTAGAACTAACCAGAGTCCTCAATGATGTCCTGCTAGGCTCCACCTCTTAAAGACCCACACTGGGGACTCGGTTTCCAGCCCATAAGCCATACCCAAACGACAGCAGTCTCAATAATACAGAGGTTCAGATTGAGGCCTAACTCTGACACTGTGCTCTTTCCACTTTCCCAATTTCTTTATAGCAGAAGAAACTCAGATGCTACATTTGACATTTTTAGAAACAAGACCTAATTTCCATTTTCTTTTGTGTGGGGGTGGAGGGGGGCACTGGGGTTCTGAACTCTGGGCCTCATGCTTGCCAGTCAGGCACTCTATCATGGGAGCCACTCTGCCAGCACCTAATCTTCATTTCCTAAAGGAAGAAATAGAAGCCTAGAGTAGAACTGATCTGCTCTGTGCCTTGCGTTGTCTCATTAGTCTTCTGGTTGCCTTAGACCGCCTGATTTACCTACATGATTTCTCAGAAAGCTTTTCTTTAACAAAATATCCACTTGCTCTCAGTTTACCAGGGGATCTCCCTGTCTGTTTCACGTCTTCTCATACACACCCATCTGCCTGACCTTCTAAAGGTTAGTGCTGAATGGTCACACACAAGACAGATCTCAAAATCATTCTCCAAGACCCATGAGATAAAAGTTCACCAACCAACACTAGAGAGAATATAGGAGAGGGAATATAGGAGCCAAGCAGTTCTCTGAACCAGGGGGCCTTGGCATAGGAAAGGCCTTTAGAGATACCTTGTCCAATTCCCTCTTCACAGATGAAATGGCTATTGTTCAGAATGGGCATTGAGCTTGTACAAATCCTATAGTCAATTAGTGATAGAGTCAAGATTGGAACTCAGAGCTTCTTCCAACATTTTGTTTTCACAATCCTTCTCCTTTTCTCTGCCTTTCCAGTCTTTCACCTTTAGCAAGGGAACTGGTGATTCACGCTCCTGCTTACCTCATAACCAACCCAACCTGTCTACTGGCCTTGCCTTTCAACTGCTGGCATTTTGGCCAACTGCCAATGCAATGATCTGATACCCAGCCCTCTGGACTAAGCACAAACGAGGAAGAGGACTTGGACTTTTCTGTTTCCTCGTGATTTCATTTACCTTGTACCCTCATCCCCTGTATTTCCTGCCTCCTGAACAGTCAAGACACTCCATTACACTTATGTTCAATATACATGGCAAAAATATTTTATAGGTGGTATTGTGTACTTTGGGTCACATCACAACTAAAGGCTCTTAATATCAATATGTCCAATTATTAGTTATTCTAGCTTTGATCATTGATTAAGGTAGTGACGGCCAGATTCCGCTAATGAAATTCTAATGATCTCTTCTCCTTTGCAATTAGTAGGGAATGTATAATGTGATATTTAGGCCCCGGGCAAATATCCTGACCCCAAACTACCTTCTACCTAAGAGTTTAAGCAGCCATTAATAAGCCTTGCTGGAATCAGTTATTACACAGGGGACTGCAAAATGGTGACTTTTCTAAATCTACCTTCCTTCTACTGGCCATCTACCATTTCTTTTTTTGGTGGTACTGGGGCTCGAACTCAGGGCCTCATACTTGCTAAGCAGGCACTCTACCACTTGAGCCACTCCACCAGCATGTTCCCTCCCTCTCTCCCTCTACTTTATACTACTACAGACGTGATATTGTACTTATTCAATGTGCTATAGCGAGCTTTACAATTATTATTCTTTTGGATGCTCAAATTGTCCCAAATTCAGCAAGTCAGTGCACCTTCTACTTGATTGTCATGTCCTTTAGCCTATTAGCTTTTTTTAAAAAAATGATAATAATAGTAATTTCTTGCTTCCCAGTCTATAACATGTCTGACATGTCCCGGGCTCACTACTGTGTACTTTCTCTGTCTCAGGTGTAGAAATAGTTGCTTACTTCTCCAAGGAGCCCTGGTTCTTTCAATGGCAGATGTGTAAGCTATTTTCATTACTACTAGAGTCTTTGTTGCTTCTCAGTCCTTTTCAGTGGACAACAAGGACAGAGAGAGAGAAAGAGAGAGAGAGAGAATTATGAGTTTCTATTGACATTTCCAACTCAATTTAACAATTCGCTTTTTCTTAGTTTATTCTTTTCATATATGCATCTCTTTTCTCTTATATTGAAAATTCTTAGCTCCCAGTTTCCTATCCTACAACAGTTTTAAAATGACAAAACCAACATCAGTAGGAATAACAAATCTACCGAGTGAAACTTAACATTTTTTTTTTCCAGTACTAAAGTTTGAATTCAGGGCTTCTCACTTGCTAGGCAGGCACTGTACTACTTGAGCCATGACTCCAGCCCATTTTTTTGTGTTGTTTTATTTTGTTTTGTCAGTTACTTTTCAGGTAGGAGCTCACATGTTTTGCCCAGCCTAGCCTGGAACATGACCCTCCTATTTAAACTTCTCTCAAAGCTGGGATGACAGGCGCATGCCACACCACCTAGGTTTTTTCGTTTTGCCCAGGTTGACCTCAAACCCTACTTTTCCCAATCTCTTCCTCCTAAATAGCTGACATTTCAGCCTTGAGCCACTGCACCTGACTGAAATTTAAGACTTCTTTGCAAACCTTTTAATCCCTAGAAGACATCCCTATAAAGATGTATGGTCAGGGAATTTTATGTAAAAGTGACTTGTAAAAAATCACTACCGTGTGTGGTTATTTTCTCATTTTCAAATAAATTATGTTATTTTGCTTCTGTTTGTGATTAGTTTTAGGGCTTGACTTTTGTTCTGTTTTAACTTTTTAATAGGCAAAATGTTTACATGGTTCAGTGGTCCAAAATGTACTTTTTAAAAAGCATAGTCACTGTTTCCACTCACCATTTTTTTTTCCTGTATTGGTGCTTGAACTCAGGGCATACCCTTTAAGCCACTCCACCAGCCCTTTTTTGTGATGGTTTTTTTTCAAGATAGGGTCTTGTGGACAATTTGCTTTGAACCACGATCCTCATGATCTCTGCTTCCTGAGATAGGCATGAGCCACCAGCACCCAGCCCACTCATCATTTTATTTTTTTTTAATTTTTATTTTACTCATATGTGCATATAATGTTTGGGTCATTTGTCCCCCCTTCCCCCACCCCTCCCTTACACCCCCACCCGCCCCCTCCCTCTCCCCCCCACACCCTCAATACCCAACAGAAACTATTTTGCCCTTACCTCTAATTTTGTTGAAGAGAGAGTATAAGCCATAACAGGAATGACCAAGGGTTTTTGCTAGTTGAGATAAGGATAGCTATACAGGGAGTTGACTCACATTGATTTCCTGTGCATGTGTGTTACCTTCTAAGTTAATTCTTTTTTTTTTTTCAGCTAGAATCTAATTTATTTTTAAGTTAATTCTTTTTGATCTAACCTTTTCTCTAGTTCCTGGTCCCCTTTTCCTATTGGCCTCAGTTGCTTTTAAGGTATCTGCTTTAGTTTCTCTGTGTTGAGGGCAACAAATGCTATCTAGTTTTTTAGGTGTCTTACCTATCCTCACCCCTCCCTTGTGTGCTCTCGCTTTGTCATGTGATCAAAGTCCAATCCCCTTGTTGTGTTTGCCCTTGATCTAATGTCCACATATGAGGGAGAACATATGATTTTTGGTCTTTTGGGCCAGGCTAACCTCACTCAGAATGATGTTCTCCGATTCCATCCATTTACCAGCGAATGATAACATTTCGTTCTTCTTCATGGCTGCATAAAATTCCATTGTGTATAGATACCACATTTTCTTGATCCATTCTTCAGGGGTGGGGCATCTTGGCTGTTTCCATAACTTGGCTATTGTGAATAGTGCCGCAATAAACATGGGTGCGCAGGTGCCTCTGGAGTAACCTGTGTCACAGTCCTTTGGGTATATCCCCAAGAGTGGTATTGCTGGATCAAATGGTAGATCAATGTTTAGCTTTTTAAGTAGCCTCCAAATTTTTTTCCAGAGTGGTTGTACTAGTTTACATTCCCACCAGCAGTGTAAGAGGGTTCCTTTTTCCCCACATCCTCACCAACACCTGTTGTTAGTGGTGTTGCTAATGATGGCTATTCTAACAGGGGTGAGGTAGAATCTTAGTGTGGTTTTAATTTGCATTTCCTTTATTGCTAGAGATGGTGAGCATTTTTTCATGTGTTTTTTGGCCATTTGAATTTCTTCTTTTGAGAAAGTTCTGTTTAGTTCACGTGCCCATTTCTTTATTGGTTCATTAATTTTGGAAGAATTTAGTTTTTTAAGTTCCCTATATATTCTGGTTATCAGTCCTTTGTCTGATGTGTAGCTGGCAAATATTTTCTCCCACTCTGTGGGTGTTCTGTTCAGTTTAGAGACCATTTCTTTTGTTGAGCAGAAGCTTTTTAGTTTTATGAAGTCCCATTTATCTATGCTATCTCTTAGTTGCTGTGCTGCTGAGGTTCCATTGAGAAAGTTCTTACCTATACCTATTAATTCCAGAGTATTTCCTACTCTTTCCTGTATCAACTTTAGAGTTTGTGGTCTGATATTAAGATCCTTGATCCATTTTGAGTTAATCTTGGTATAGGGTGATATACATGGATCTAGTTTCAGTTTTTTGCAGACTGCTAACCAGTTTTCCCAGCAGTTTTTGTTGAAGAGGCTGCTATTTCTCCATCGTATATTTTTAGCTCCTTTGTCAAAGATAAGTTGCTCATAGTTGTGTGGCTTCATATCTGGGCCCTCTATTCTGTTCCACTGGTCTTCATGTCTGTTTTTGTGCCAGTACCATGCTGTTTTTATTGTTATTGCTTTGTAATATAGTTTGAAGTCAGGTATTGTGATACCTCCTGCATTGTTCTTTTGACTGAGTATTGCCTTGGCTATTCGTGGCCTCTTGTGTTTCCATATAAATTTAACGGTAGATTTTTCAATCTCTTTAATGAATGTCATTGGAATTTTGATAGGAATTGCATTAAACATGTAGATTACTTTTGGTAGTATAGACATTTTTACCAATCCATGATCATGGGAGATCTCGCCACTTTCTATAGTATTCCTCAGTCTCTTTCTTCAGAAGTTTATAGTTTTCCTTGCAGAGGTCATTTGCGTCTTTTGTTAGGTTTACACCTAGTATTTGATTTTTTTTTGAGGCTATTGTAAATGGAATTGTTTTCATATATTTTTCAGTTTGTTCATTATTAGTGTATAGAAACGCTAATGATTTTTCTATGTTGGTTTTTATATCCTGCTACCTTGTTATAGCTGTTGATGATGTCTAGGAGCTTTTGAGTAGAGTTTTTTGGGTCTTTAAGGTATAGGATCATATCGTCTGCAAATAGGGATATTTTGACAGTTTCTTTACCTATTTGTATTCTTTTTATTCCTTCTTCTTGCCTAATTGCTCTGGCTAGGAATTTCAGTACTATGTTGAATAGGAGTGGAGATCCCACTCATTATTTTAAATTCATTTCTGATTTATCCCTCTGTGTTATTTTTTTTTTAAGGAAGGTGTGTAGGGGGAGTTGTCTGATTGCCCTTTTTTATATGAAAACTAGTATATCACATACGTTGATTCACAGACAGCTTTTTCAACTTAAATCTTAGAAATTACATCATATCATTCATAAAACCATTTCTCATTTTTAATAGCTACATTTTTAATGTACTCCAATAGGTGGCTATATCAAAGCTTATTCAACCCGTCTTCTATTGGTGGATTTTTGTGCTTTTTCCAGGCTTTCTAAGATCTAAATTTTAGGATCCAGATAATTCTGGATTGTCCCTTTTCTATGAAATTGCAAGAACCTCCTTCTTGGCTCCTGACTGGTGCTCTCTCCCTCTGCATTTCATTGTCCACACATCTCCACTGCAGTTATGTTCCTCCTCTACTCCACAGCTTTGGATGACTTCCCATTGGAGAACATGGCGTAAATTGTGAGAGCTTTTGCACATAAAGGTGAACATGTATGAAAACTTTTATATGTAAGTTAGGAGGTTTGTGAAACCCAATTTAAAACTCTTCTCCTATAGAACAAGTTCCAAATTCTTTAAGATGGCAATTACGAATTAATCCTCCAGCTCTGACCTATCTTCCCAGCATCTCTCCTGCTAAGTCTTCACTCTCCCAATCACACACTCCCAATCACACACTCCCAATCACACACACCTAATCACACACTCCCAATCACACACACCCAATCACACACACTTCCAATCACACACACCCAATCACACACACTCCCAATCACACACACACTGCCAATCACACACACACCATTCACTACAGCCATACTGTGCTCCTGACTATTTTCCTAACATAACTGTACCTTCCAGCTTCAGGTATATTGGATCATGCTCCCTGTGGACTGAGATATTCTATTCTTGCTTTTATACTAGATGAGCTACTGCTCTGTTTCAGCCATAATGGCCTTCTCATTCATCAAATGGGCTCAGTTCATTGGGTTTCTGGTTCTTGTACTTTCTGTTCTCTTCACTTTGAATGTTTTTGCCCTAGATTTCAATGACTGGCTACTTTCACATTCAGGTCTCAGCTTAAGTATCACCTCCCCAAGAGACCTCTTATCACCCTATCCAAAGTATCTGTCCTTCATCCTCCACCCTTACCAACTTAATCCACATCCTATTTTATTTTTTTCACTATTTGTGAGATGAAATTTATGACTTGTTTATTTATTTTTTGTATCTTTATCATCCCAATAGCATGGAAACCCCTTAGGAACAGGGACCTTGTCTCATTTGCATCACATCCCTAGCACCTGGAACAGTGCCTGGCAGAGAGGTGGCGCTCCAATAATGAACACACTAGTCCTCTGTACTCTGCCAAATGCCTTCTCCTCTGACTCTCTGCTGATTGCCTCCAATCCTTATCAAAATACTTCCTTGGTATGGAAGCAGGAACTGGGCCCTATTTACCTAGTGAGCTCAGTGTGTTTTTCCTCCTGAGGCTAAAGCATGTTTACTTTCTGGGAGAAGAACTTAGCATGTGCTCAAGAATGGAAAATGTGATTAAAAGTTCAGGGTAGAGAAGATCACGGATGATATCTATTTGAGTTGGAGGTATTTTCAAAGTAGAATGGATAGTAGAAAATACTGATCTAATGCATGTGTGGTCAAAATGTTTTATCAGTAGTATCCATGACCTTGATTGGTAATTAATTTAATTTTCAAAAACAAGCTAATAGAATAACTTTTTCTTCATAACTAACATTCCAGCTGATGCCACTCACTGCCACGGATAGTCAGGAATTTAAAATATTATTCATAATATTTTATTTTGTAAGTTCCTATTGCATTACAATTTATTAGAAAATTTATATTATAATATGTTGCATGGTTCTTCCATTTACTAACAATGTGACTTTAAGAAAGTTATTAAACTTATGTGAACTTGAACATCCCCCTGTACAAATGAGGGTTTGATAAAATGTTAAATGTGATACTTCAACACTTAATGTCATGGTTGACTCAAGAGTCAGATAACAAACAAATATTAGTTTCCTTTCTACAACATTTGATTGGCAGATTGGAAAAAAGCATACCACTCCCTTCACCCCCACATCTTTCATTTTTTTAATGACCAAAGAAATTTGCTGTTAGTAGGTCTGGTTTCCCTAGTTACTCTTCCTCCCTTTCATTTTCCTTTCTTCCTTCTTTACCAACTAGTTATTGAATATGTGCTATGTGCCAGGCAGTGGACATACCATGATGACCAAGTCCAACAGGGTTATTGCTCCCAGAGAGTTCTCAGTCCAGCAGAGAACAGTGTGATGAGAACTGGATAGGAGAGGCACAAAAGGAACAAGAACACATGCCCAGGGACCCAATCTAGTCAAAGAGTCTGCCTGAGGAAGACATGGTCAGCCTCACCCCTGAAGGATAGGTACTTAGCTAAGTAAAAAGCAGGCAAAGTGTCCTAAAGATGAAGAAACCATCACAGAGAAGGCTTGGATGAGAGAAGCATGTCAAGGGACTGAAAGGATTTCAGTACAGCAGGAGCAAGGAGAGAAAAGCTGAGCTGATGACTCTCACAATGTCAGCAGGGACCAGATCATGAAGGACCTTGTCAACCATGTAGAAGAGATAGATACTGCAGGATGCCAAAGAAGGAAGTGACATGATTACATTAGCATGTTGGTGAGGCCATGCTGGCTGTTGTGTAGGAGGTTTGATGGGCAGTAAGACTAGAGGCAAGAACATTAGGAGGCAGTTGCAATACTTATTTCTTCCTTCGTTTTTCCCTCTCCCAACAGATACCTGGGTTAACTCATGCCTTCCAGAAACCATCACCACCTTTGATCCCATGTTTGACACTCAAACTGAAACACAGACAACAGAGGTCGCTGTCAGCGACAGTACCTACTCAGCATCATCCCCCTACTCTACAACCCCTGCTCTTGTTACAACCCCTGCTCCACCTACCACTTCTATTCCACGGAGGACAAAGTTAATTTGCATCACAGAAGTTTTTACAGAAACTAGCTCTGTGTCTATAGAAACAGAACCAACTATTGAAAGCGAAGAAGCATTCAAGAATGAAGTTGCTGGGTTTGGAGGTGAACACTTTCTGTGTCGTGTGTGCGTGTGTGTGTGTGTGTGTGTGTGTGTGTGTGTGTGTGTGTATGTATATCCCACAATACATAGAATCCAATCTGTCTCCAGACTGGACGCTCAGACTCAGCACCTTTCAGATACAAATAAAGGTTTAATGCACATTTATCTTTCATAAAGTCAGAGAACTTAAGGGCTATAAAGAACCTTAATGATTAAGTTATAGATCAAGACCAAAGAAGTGCTGTGATGTTGGAAGTTCAAGATTTTTAAAAATAATTATGTTACTATAAACACAAAACTATACCTTAGCTGCCTATGACTATATTCCAGGCATCTCTTTCTTGGGCAGACTTGATAACTAGAGTAGATCTCAAGGGCCCAGGATTAAACTCTAACTCTACTTTTTGTATTAATTACATAGAATAGAGAGAGCGTGAGAGACAAGGCTGAGGGCTCCATATGCAGGAAGCAAAGAAGCTGGTGAGGTCCCACAACATAAATAGTCACAAGGAAGGCTCTCCTGCACTAATATCTGTATTGCACATGAAGACAAATCGTTAGATGCCCAGTACGCATGATGTGTGAGTGAAGGACCAACAGGACTTGTCTTTTTCCTCCAGGTGTCCCCACTGCTCTGCTGGTGCTTGCCCTCCTCTTCTTCAGTGCTGCAGCTGGCCTGGCAGTTTGCTACATCAAAAGGTGGGATTGTTGGCACACTGCTAGTCTTGTCACCTTTGTCACATCCCTGTCCTGTGTTTTTCTGGGGTTGTTATTGGCATTTGGTAGGTGTCAGCGGAGATGGCATGCCTCTTATACCATAAATTTCTCCCTCATCTACTATTTCAGTATGAGCATGTCCCTTTGAAAATCAAGAAATAAAGAGGGAAAGATCAATACCTAAGGAAAGTTCATATTCTAGTTTCGGTTCTTTATTTTGGACAGAAGAGTTGTGAAGCTGACCTAAAGTTGGATCTGTGGAAACACTGTCCAATTTAAATGAATCCATTAAGCTGAGATTGTGTTCATATATTTGAGCAAATGTGTGATAGCATCACTCTGAAATAAAGGTACCCAGGGGACTGTGTCAAAAAGTGCCATTCCAAACAAAGTGTTAGCCATTGTTAAGTGTTTTACATAGAAGTCTCTCTCTATAATTTTATGTTTGTGCTGATAGGTATGTGAAGGCCTTCCCTTTTACAAACAAGAATCATCAAAAAGAAACAATTGAAACCAAAGTGGTAAAGGAAGAGAAGGCTGATGATGGCAACCCTACTGAGGAATCAAAGAAAACTAATAAAAACCAAGAAGAGCCCAAGAGTGCTCCCAAAACTACAGTGCGATGCCTGGAAGCTGAAGTGTAGATGAGAAGGCACACCTGAGGCTGGTTTCTTCCCTGATTCGTATGCTGGCTCCAGGTGGGGAAACTAAAAGGGCCAAAGAACCAAAGAAGGAAGCCATCATTGGTTCCTAACAGGAAATGACTATGGAGTCCTCCAAAGAGAGGCCTCTTCTCACTGTAATCCTTTCTGGACCCTATCCTCCTACCTCCAAAGTTTCCCACAGCATTTCTAGCCTGGCTAGGTCCTAGTAATATTCCAGTGGGAGAAAGGAGTTTTCAAAGCACAGGATCTAAAAGAGCTTGTCAGTACACACCCGTAAACAGGCCTCCAGGCTGCCTGAGACTGGGTGAGTTGAGGACCAGAGTCCCTGAGACCAGGCCAGCTGCCCAACCCAGAGTCTTTCCACAGTTCTGAAAGGGAAACACATCACTTGGCACGAGACCTTCAGAGCCAGGTACAAGTAAAACAAAGAAGGAAAGGTTTAGCAATGGAAGGCCATGGATAGCCTCATGACTTGAGACCTAATCTCTGGGAAGCAAAATAAATAGAGCGTTAAAAGGAGGCCAAGGACACTGACAGCACTTGCCAGCAGAAACTGTAAATACAGACAGGGACTGAGCATCCTTCACTGAGTAAATTCATTGGAATCACTTTCTAGACCACACACACACTTTCTTTTCTCTCTACTGCTGCTGCTATTTTCTCTAGAAGAATAGACTTTTATAAGAAACAAAAGAAAACACAAATTTCTATTTTTATCAGAGTTACGGAAATTATTACCAAGGAAATGACTGTTAAAAAGTAGTGAGATTCAACAAATAGTTGCTAAAAGTCTACTACAGGTTGCATGTCCCTCATCTGAAATGCTTAGGACCAGAAGTGTTTCAAATTTTGAATTTTTTCAGATTTGGGAAAATTTGCATAGATAAAATGAGTTCTCTTGGAGATGGGCTCCAAGCCTAAATATGAAATTCATTTATGTTTTATGTGTACCCGATAAACATAGCCTGAAGGCAACTTTATACAATATTTTTAATAACTTTGTGCGTGAAACAAATTCTTATGGTATGGAATTTTCCACTTGGGGCATCATGTTGACACTCAGAAAGTTTCAGATTTTTGAAGCATTCCATTTTGGGGATTTTTGGATTAGAAAAAAAGCATTAGAGATGCTCAACCTGTATATGTCAGGTGTTATGCAAGTTATTACATTCTATAATTGAATATTATTATTCATCAAAAAGTTGCATATAATGGAGTGCTGTCTGAAACTAATGTTTTTTTCAGTTTTGATATACCTAGCTTATCTACTTTCAAACTATTTTGTTGCTGAGACTAATCCATTCATTTTCTCTAATATAACCTTAATTTATTATTAACATACCTAAAAAATACATTATTCCCTCTACATACCAAAGCACATTTTTAAATTCCATTAACAAATATATCACCAGCTCTTATTTTCCCAGCAAGAAGAGCCTAAAAGGTGCAGAAATATTTGTGCCAAAAATATTAAAGCATTTAGAAAACTTCTTTGGTCTCTTGTTTACATAGAAGCATTATACTTTTCTTGCAGAACTAAAGGACCAAATCATACTCTGTACTTTGCAAAAGTAAAAGGGACAGTTTGGTTGTTAAAATACAAACATATTGAAACCCACAGTATATACCTCACCATGTTCTTGCTACAAATGGTCTCATTTTAAGTTGCTCAAATATGCACATATTAGTCCTTTACTTGGAACTCAGTTCCTACATCCCAATCCACTTCAGAGTTCCCAGGAAGCCAAAGACTCAGAACAACTCACTTATCCTGAATCTCTAGCTGTCTTCTTCCCACAGACTGCTAATTATCTTCCTCCCCTCACCAGTGAACCCCTGCCCTATGAGTCCTTTTAGCCCAGAGGCCTACCCATGTAGCAGTCTTTCTTGGCTAGTGTACAATTTAATTTAATTTAATTCCAGGAATTAAAATCAAGAGATATTATATGCTTATATTTCTAGGCTCCCTTGAAAAAAATGGAAATTTGGAGACAGAGACCCCCACATTCCCTCAGAGCAATAATCACCTAATGCTGAGTAGTGACTGTCCCCTTTAAATGGGGGGTGGTCCTCATCCCTCCACTGCACCCTCATGCCTAAGGAAAGATGCCATTTCCTGTGGCTCTTGTAATACTATTGCCCATGTCATTCATATCTATTACCTTCCCGGCCCCATAGGTGTGTGAGTTTAAAACTCTGCTTTGTCAATCCATAAGTCTTATCAGCATCCTCTAGTTCTCAGGAGTGAAGAAGAAAAGGAGGGAACGGCTAAAGTAGTGGTCCTACCTCTCTGTGTGTTGGCTGAAAAATAATAGGTCATTCCATACATCTCCCATCTGTGTACATCTATATGTTAAGATGCCAGCATCTTTTCTGTTATTTTAGACAGGTATGTGTCCTACCTAGGAGGAGGAAGAGGAAGAGAAGAAAACCACTCAGCCAAATATACAAACAGTCCCCCCACAACTACAGTTCCACATCCACAGATTCAATCAAGAGGAGACTGAAAATATTTGAAAAAAATGTGTCTGCACTGAATATGTTTACTCCCTTAAAAGGACAGTATAACAACTATTAGCAAAGCATTCACATTGCATTAGGTATTACAAGTAATCTAGAGATGATTTAAAGCATATAGAAGGATGCACAAAGGTTATATTCAAATTTTAGATAAGGGACTTGAGTATCTGTGTTATCTGAGGGGGGTCCTGAACTAAATCCGCTGAAGGTACTAAGGGATGACTGTAATCACTCAGTAGCCCAAATGTCCTGTGCAAACACATTGATGAAAATGTAACTTCCATCAGTATGCAAGGGAGAAAGGGATAAAAAAAGGGAGAAAAAGAAGGGGAAGGGAAGGGAAAGAAGAAGGCTAACATTTACGGAGTACATACTCAGTTAACAGTCATTTCGTATGCTATCCAATTTTGTCTCCATACCCTCCCTGAGAAGTAAGGATCATTGCTGTCATTTTCATTCCTTTGAAAATTGGGCTTTTAGAGGATCCAAATCTCTTTCTGAGGTCACAGATCTAGTTAAATGGTAAAGGTAGTATTTGACAGGTCAGGATGACTGACAGCCCGTGCTCCTTTCCCTATACCACAGTACTTCTCTTGCAAATGACAATATAGAGATGAGTGGAAGTTCATTCAAGTTTAAAACTGGTCACTTTCAGGCTAGAGGTGTGGTTCAAGTGGTTGTGCTTGCCTAGGAAACACAAGGCCCTGAATTCAACCATTAGTACTACCAAAAATTTTTTTAAAAAAACAAAAAAGGCTGGTCACTCGCCCACAACAGGGGTGGAATAAGGAAAACAACTCAAGACTTCTGTGTCAACCTGAAGGACTCTTTGTGTCTTAAATCCATTGGCAATGACAAGGAAAAAAGAGAATCATTAAAGAGCTTTGAGAACTGCCCCTCTCCACCCCACCTCCCACTGATGCAGACACTAATTCCAGTGATGTCCTACCTGGCGCAGTTCACATGGTCAGACAATGTATGACTCAGAAGGAGCCAAGATAAGCTTCTCCTAGGTTTTTTTTTTTTCCCCCTCACAGAGAAGCCTAGATTAAAGGTCTCCTTCTTGGTCAAATTCTGTTTTTTTCTCCACCAAACAAAAAGAATTTGAAAGAATATGAAGGGTCACCCCTCTTCAGACCCACAAACCAGCTTCCCAAGACTAATCTTCAAAAGAGGCAGATAGAGAGGCATATGATGACATTTTCAGAGGGTACAAAGGATCTCCCTGCCCAGAAATGCCCTTTCTGTATGCCTAACTCCTTGGCTCAAATCCAAGAAGATCCAGTCCTTCAGCCAAAGTTACTCTGTCCTGAGGAAGAGTCTCCTGTAAAATTGAATGTTTATATAAAGGCCAGGCCACTGTCAAATATTAAGATGCCAATATAGGCCTAGTAAAGACATGCTGACTTCTAAGGGTAGAAAGCTGAGGTAAAGCAGATGACTTGAGGCCCAGAAGAGTGCTTGCACACAGCTGAAGTCTAATAATGTCCAATGCCTAAACAGAATTTGAATCACACTGATTTCCGGACCAAAGAGTTCTATATTTTGGGGATCTTATTTTATTTATTTGTTTGGTTGGTTTTTGGTGGTACTGGGGTTTGAACTCAAGGTCTCACACTTGCTAAGCAGACACTCTACCACTTGAGCCACAGTGCTAACGAAAGAATTCTACATTTGGTTATCTTTTGTTGTTACCTTCAGCAAGTGCCTAAAGCAAAATCAAGTGCTATGGGAAGAACAGATTTGTAAGGCTAGATCCTCACAATCTCAAACAATTGAATTCTTACTAAGGAATATGAGAATCCCTCACACCAAAGGGAAACTGTTTTAGCCTCCCAACATGAAGAAAAGCAATTATTTGCCAACTCAATATTCTTATTAGAAGTAAATAAAATTCAGTTTTTTATCACCATAATAGTTTATAAATAGGGTAAGTTTTGACCAAAGTGTTTTGTTTGTTTGTTGGTTTGTTTTGGGAGTACCGGGGTTTGAACTCAGGGCCTCACACTTGCTAAGCAGGTGTTCTACCACTTGAGCCACTCCTCCAAACCTGACCAAAGTTATTAATAATGCTGAAGTCAGATGGGACATGCGCCTCTCTGAATGTTATCAAGGAAGTATCCAAATTTCCACAGTGCCAATGTGATTGAAGATGTCCCCCTTTCGTATCTAGTAGACCATTCACTTTTTAAACTCAACTTTTCATTTCAGAGTAGTTTTACATTTACAAAACAAAAATAGTGAAGGTAGTACAGAGTACCCATATACCCACACTCAGTTTCTCAGTTAATTAATACTGTATATAAGTAGGACACATCTGTCATGCATAATGAGCCAATATCAATATATTATTATTAACCAAAGCCCATGCTTTATTGTATCTTCCTTAGTTTTTACCTAATGTAAAACTAATTTTACATTATCCTAATTAAATTAGGATATCCTAATTCCCATCCAGGATAATTGTCATGTGTCCTTAGGCTCCTCTTGACTGTGACAGTCTCTCAGATTCTCCTTATCTTGATCACTTTGCCAGTTTTGAGGAATAGGGTCAGGTATTGTGCAGAATGTCCCTCCACTAAGGTTTCACTGACATTTTCTCATAATTGCACTGGGATTATGTGTTTGGAGAAGGAAGAGTACAGAGGTAAATTTTCATTTTCATCCCATCAGATCAAGGGTACATGCTATCAATTGTTGACATTATCCTTGAGTACCTGGCTGAGGTTGTTTGTCAGGTTCTCCACTGTAGATTCATTCTTTTCCCTCTTCCTACTCTGTATTCTTTGGAAAGAAGCCAGTGTGCATGGCTCCCACTTAGAAAGAACATGTACAGTGCCTCCTTGGGAGAACAAGATCTACGTTAAGTTATTTGGAATTTTTCAGCATAGGAGATTTATGTGTTCATTCATTTGTGTCAGCATAGACTCAAGAATACTCATTTCCTACTTACCCAATACTATTCTATTGATTTTGTGCTCAATTTGTTCCAGTTTGATAACTGGGAACTCCTTCATTTTGATGCTGTGTCCTCTGACAGGCTCCCATCCTCAAGTTTTTATTAGGCATTTCCTTACTTTCTGGCATTATATGAGTCTTCAGACTCATCTTTACATTTTGTACCTTGGTTCTAGAATCAGCCATTTCTCCAAAGAGCCCTGATCAGTTTTTATTTTGATTTGTTTAACGGAATGATCTGAGAAGCCCAAACCTGGGCATTCTTGCTACTGTGATGTCAAGCCGGTAACAGCAGTCCCAACGATTTTTAATGTCATAGATCAATTATTCTTTTTTAAAT